ATAAAACTTAAAATCATGTTTTGAATACTTATTTTCTTATATTATATATATAAATATATATTATTTTTAAGATAGACATTTTTCAGTTTTTCAGCCTTGCCTTTTAAATCATCTAATCAAACACTAAGAATTAATTGTTATTGATCATTTGATCGCTCGAAACCATCGATCCTTGGTTTGCGGAGTCGCTGTAGATTTAGTTCCGACAGATCTTGTCAGAACCCGGAGAATGGTTTCGACGCTCCAAATCTTCTCCGTTAGATCCGAGGTTTCTCTCAGCATCTCTTCTCCAGTATAAAGTTGGACCCAGAGATAACCAGTTCTCCTATATGAAGATAATAACCAAATTTTCTTAAAATATTCTTAAATGTATATATTTATATATTATATATCCTAAAACTAAGTACATACATGATAACTTCAAATGGTTTATGAACAACAAGTACATTTTTATCCCAATTAATTTAAGTTTTAATCTAATTCTTATAAATTGATTAAAATTTCTTAAAATATTCTTAAATGTATATATTTATATATTATATATCCTAAAACTAAGTACACACATGATAACTTCAAATGGTTTATGAACAACAAGTACATTTTTATCCCAATTAATTTAAGTTTTAATCTAATTCTTATAAATTGATTACAATTTTAAAAACTGAATGAAGGGAATAGAAAAATATTTATTTTCATGAATGGAATTAATACTTTTTATTAAAACCATTGATCTCTCCGTTTTAATCTATATTGAATTTTTTATTGTATTTTATTTACAGTAGAGTATAGTAGAATCCCACAAACTCTTTATTGGTGACTAATAAAGCCAAAATAAGCAATAGTTGAAATAAAATATCAACTTTATCTGTTTCGATGAAGCTCCTTATCAAAAATTAAAAAATTATCGTTTTTGATTTTGATATGAAATGAAAGAAAGATTGTGGTAGACCCCCAATGTAGGATCCCCAGACCGCCATCGGACGTTAAGGCGGTGCCCAAAACCCGTTCATCCGGCGCCCTGCTATTCTTACCCCTATGACCGGGACAATTCAAAGCAAAGCACGGTACTACCGGAAGCAGGCTTGTCACTCAACCTGGTGATGTTTGTGTACCCTCCAATCAAGGGAGGCGTCAAGAATAAGCTACCTGGAGTATTAGAGTGATTCAATCAATTTATTCCACAGTTCTAAGACGACATACATAATTTATACAATGCAAAAATTTTTGCTTTAACAAAAGAAACAATATGGAAAGGAATAAAGCAAAAGGACATATAAAGGAATATTTTGTCTTATTTATTCTTTTTTCCATGACATATTCTGTTAGAGTAAAGATTTTGTATATCTTTGATACCGAATTATCGGATCAGAGATAGGAGAAAACTAGTTCTAAAAACGAGTATACTGAAGTATTATAAATTAATATTTTCATTATAATACAGGGGCAAAACTAATATATTTGATATTGTTTAAACTCTGATTGTAAACTCTTGTTTATTTCAAGTACCGGGCCTACTTTACAGCAGCTAGAGCAAGCTGTAAAGTAGAAATACAGACTATATCAGGCAAAACGGGACAATGCGCCAAATAAAGGATCCAGATCTAGGGAAATCGTTGTGAGCTGTAAACCAAATAATTCGTTACTCTTGAGATTGTTTCCCTAAGGTACCTTAAAAAAACTTTGAGATTTTGTCGTACAATGAATGTATCTTAAAAACCTACATTTGACTAGTGCGAACCTAGTTGTGAATATTTCTATTTTCAGTATTATGTTCTGGTTAATCATCTTCTCCGTAGCATATGCAGGTAGGGCCTTTATCTACACTGTGCTCGGTATATATATCAATACAGTATCCAGTACTGAAATATGGTGATATATTACAGAGGCTTATGTACTTTTCAGTACAGTATCCGGTACTGAAATATCGTGATATATTACAGAGGTTTACGTACTTCTCAGTACAGTATCCGGTACTGAAATATAGTCATATATTACAGAGGTTTACGTACTTCTCAGTACAGTATCCGGTACTGAAATATGGTGATATATTACAGAGGCTTATGTACTTTTCAGTACAGTATCCGGTACTGAAATATGGTGATATATTACAGAGACCTATGTACTTTTCAGTACAGTATCCGGTACTGAAATATGGTGATATATTACGGTGGCTTATGTACTTTTGAATACAGTATCTGATACTGAAATATGGTGATATATTACAGAGGCTTACGTACTTTCCAATACAGTATCCGGTACTGAAATATAATGATATATAAAAGAGGCTTTACGTACTTTTCAATACAGTATCCTGTACTGAAATATGGTGATATATTACAGAGGCTTATGTACTTCTCAGTACAGTATCCGGTACTAAAATATGGTGATATATTACAGAGGCTTATGTACTTCTCAGTACAGTATCCGGTACTAAAATATGGTGATATATTACAAAGGCTTTACGTACTTTTCAGTACAGTATCCGGTACTGAAATATGGTGATAAATTACAGAGGCTTATGTACTTTTCAGTACAGTATCCGGTACTAAAATATGGTGTTATATTACAGAGGCTTATGTACTTTTCAGTACAGTATCCAGTACTGAAATATGGTGATATATTACAGTGGCTTATGTACTTTTCAATACAGTATCCGGTACTGAAATATGGTGATATATTACAGAGGCTTTACGTACTTTTCAATACAGTATTCGGTACGGGAATATAATGATATATTACAGAGACGTATGTACTTTTCAATACAGTCTCCGGTACTGAAATATGGTGATATATTGCAGAGGCTTTACGTATTTTTCAGTGTCCGGTACTAAAATGAAACATAATACCAATGAAAATACTGCAATTGTATTGTTTCCCCATTTCAGTAACCATTACTGTATTGATATCTATGCTGTTCACTGTATATCTAAATATAGTAGTAATCTCTGTTTGTCTGTTTGTTATCTGATCAGAATACTTGAACCCCTTGACAGATTTACCTCAAAAAAATACATGAGTTGTTCAAAAAATATTCTTAATTCCAGGATTTCGTTTCTAAAAGTTTTTTTCGCCAAAGCACGTCACATTACAAAATTCCCCCCCCCNNNAGTATTTAGTGTAACTCTCTTTTTTACCCTTATGCAGTCCCTTTAAAGATTATTTCCAATGCCCTGTTATGTTTACAACAATATTAAACCAATCAGTCAGTTAGGACATGCCGTTCTTATGAAACTTTGTACCTGAAACTGGGTTTTATAAATAAGCTCTTTCAGGGAGTTTTGATATTTCATTTGATCAGTATCGTAGACTGTAGTTTCTTATCTTTTTTTTCTAGTTTTCAGTTTCAAATCTACACAACGGTATAATTAGCAAACGATATTCTCTTGATTTTCTGCTGTTCAATTTCCTTGTGTAGTTTATTGTGTACATTTAGGGGGATGTAGTGATAAGTTTAAATTCTCTCTGCTCTAGAGACAGTTATGCACAACAACAACATAAACTACAAGTTATAATTCTTTTTTGTCATTGAGTGAATTTTTTAAAAATTTTATTACGTCAAAATCCTGATCTGATCTGATCTACATCTGAAATATTTTCCCAATTATTCTCTTCTTGTTGATGGGAAGAAGTCAAATTATTGGTTCCACGGAGAGGAAATATGAGACTTCTCCGTGTTGTGCATAAAACAGCGATAAAACTAACAAATTTGAAAACAATAAAGTTGATTTGAAACCATTTATCCTTTAATGGAGGCTCCATATTATTTCAATGTTTGTATATATATAACCCCTTTTCATTGCACTCCCCTCATCCCATTTAATCCTATTCTCTCACCTTCTTCATCCCATTTAATCCTATTCTCTCACCTTCTCCATCCCATTTAACCCTATTCTCTCACCTTCTCCATCCCATTTAAAACTATTCTCTCACCTTCTCTATCCCTTTAATCCTATTCTCTCACCTTCTCTATCCTATTTAATCCTATTCTCTCACCTTCTCCATCCCATTTAATCCTATTCGCTCATCTTCTCCATCCCATATAATCCTATTCTCTCACCTTCTGCATTCTTCCTCCATCTTTATCCTTTATAAACCCATTCTTCATCCTTCTCCATCCGAATTCACCCCCCCCCCCTTACTCTCCTACCCTATATCCAGTTGCATCGTTCAAAACCATTTTATAAACCTGAAAACGGTTTCCTAAATAGAAAATGTTCTCGGGAAAATTTCCTTTCTTACACCTTACAATTAATCTTAACTTTAACTTGGATTTATATATTTCTTAGTTTTTAATTCATTTTCTGTCCTCTGTGTATACATTTTTCATCCAACTTTCTCTTCTTCTTGAACTGTTTTTACGTTCTTTAAGTTTTAAAATCCCTGAAATTAAAAATTTGTTTTCGTTATTCAAATCCGTCAGTGAAAGGAAATACTAGGTTTAGAGAAAATAATCTTTTTTGTCTCAATGAAATTTATTAAAACATTAAAATATGGTGAATGAAATTCATATAAATATGAATTATTATAATACTAGGCTTTTAGGGCGCTTTGCGCCCATCTTCTGTTTCAACTTTTGTTTTAACTGTTGTACTGTGTAAAACAAAAACAAAAAGTTAGCGGATTTCAAAATATTTTTTCGCGCATTTTCAAAATTTTACAAAAATAAAAAAACTTTAAAGCACAATTTTTTGAAATTTTGATCATTCATAAAGCTTCCCTGGGGTCACGTGAGGTCCCACACAAAATTTGGGCCCAATCGGTTCAGCCGTTTTGACGTTTATTGGATGCAAACAAACAAGCAAAGTATGTATTTAGAAAGAAGGTTTATATATCATATTAAAGAAGAGTTAGTACAAGATTTTATGTCTGAAGTTATATATACCCTACACAGAGGATCGCTCTTAACAACCATTATAAATGATAAAAATGGGAAAATCTGTGAAACCTTCTTTCTCAGATTTGTAGATGTTAAGAAATTTATGAACCTTGTTCCTGAAGTAGTTGTTGGCATAAATATATATTCTCCTACAAACAGTCCTTATAATACTAGGAGCCAGGAGTATATAGGGGAGCAAAAACTACTGGGGGGGGGTGAGGGGGAGGGGGGATTCTTTGTTTGAATAAAGGTTGACATTAGAGGATATAAACTCAGATGAATTACTGAAAGCATTTTGTGTTAAACATATTTCTTAAAGTCAGAAGTTGAATTTTATAAGATTGTATCTATTACTGCACAGCAGTAGTATCCAGAGAATAAATATATACCGGAGTCCCGGGATAAATAAGGACCCGGAGCTGAATCCAACCCTGCTCAATCATACAAGAGCATTCATCATCCTAACCTACAATATATTCAACCCTCGTGCCACCAGCTTTTGTGTAAACACGGAGAAGTATGATGGATTAGGACGGATAAACTTTATTCACACATATTCTGTTCCACACACAACATTCAAACACATCCAGAAGTTTTCGATTTCTTAAAATACCTATTTTCAGGATCAACTGAGAACCCTCATCCAACATATCAATCCGATCCAGTATTAAAGGGGTTTCGGAGTCAAACCCTGAACCCTGGAGATAATCTAACCCTGTCCTGTACTCTCAGTGGTTTGGGGGATAAGGAGAAGGTTCGGTTTACATGGGAGAGGAATGGAGAAATAGTTCAGGTAAATAGGATACATTACAACCCTGAAACCTGGGTTGTAATGTAAGACTGCATTCCTAGAATTGCAATTTTAGATTGCATCTCTTGGTTTGCGATATTAGATTGCAACCCTAGGGTTCCAATATTAGATTCCATTCCTAGGTTTGCAATGTTAGATTGCATCCCTAGGTTTTCAACGTTAGATTGCATCCCTAAGTTTTCAATTTTAGATTGCATTCCTAGGTTTGCAATGTTAGACTGCATCCCTAGGTTTGCAAATTTAGATTGCATTTCTAGGGTTGCAGTTTTAGATTGCAGTCGATCTTTCCAATAATATTCTGAAATGTACATGGATATATGTAATAAATACCGTGGCAGATCCCACAGTTACACCTAGATAAATTATGTTGTACATTGTCTGTAAATTTAAATGCGCTTATCAGTAACTACGCAAATCTTGTATTGCGATTAACCTAATCTAGTTACGTCTATTAATAACTATGTCAAACCTGTATTGTGATTAGCTTACCTACGTTTGTATATAACGACGCAAAACTTGTAATTACGTCTATCAAACTTAATCTGTAACCTGGAATCCAAAATACACTCAGTTGGAATTAGACTCCGCTTTGATTACAGTGTGAGAGTAATTACCTCTTTGTTAGGGAACAAGATACGTTCTGAATCACTCTCTTGAAAGATGGAACTAGATTGGGAATCAATATAGATAAAGTTGTGTACAGATTGACATTGATAGTAAAGTATTCCTGGAACCGTGAGTTCTTGATTGAGTTGTATCTGGATTGATACGGGTCTGAAAGACTTTTATGGAGTAGGTAATTTACTACGTATGCTTGACGGGGGGGGGGGTTTCTTCGAAAGAAAGAGGTGTGGGCTGAGAGGGGTGAAAAACAGAATATTTCTAGATAAATTATGTCTATAAGTTATAATATGTCTGCCTTTTCTTTCTACTTGAAGTAATCAATCAAATAAAAGCTTGTAAACCAATTATTTGCGTAAAGATAAACTACAGACCCCCCCCCAGCCCCCCTTCCCACCTTCTTAAGAGAATGTTTGAAGAGGTTTGTTGATATTATTATTAAGTTATGGAATAAATCAGATTCTGAATATATTAATCACATTGCAGGAAATATACTGGATGTCAGATAAAAAATCTAATTCAATATTTGGAAAAAAGAAGTTGTACAGTGCATACTTTGTATACACTTACTCTAGTAGAAGGAAAACACTCCCTCTAAGAGAAGGAGGTGTATGTATTCCCTCCAGCAGAAGGTGGTGTATACACTCCCTCTAGAAGCAGGAGGTATACATACTCCCTCTAGGAGTAGGAGGTATATATACACTCCCTTTAGGCGAATGAGGTATATATACACTAACTTTTGGAGAAGGAGGTGTATACACTTTCTCTAGGAAAAGGAGGTGTATATACTCCCTCTAGGAGAAGGAGGTATATATACTCCCTCTAGGAGAAGGTGGTATATATACACTTCCTCTAGGAGAAGAAGGTGTATATACTCCCTCTAGAAGAAGAAGGTGTATAGTGTATACACACCCTCTAGGAGAAGGAGGTATATATACTCCCTCCAGGAGAAGGTGGAATGTTTACTCCCTCTAGGAGAAGGAGGTATATATACTCCCTTTAGGAGAAGGTGGTATGTATACTCCCTCTAGGAGAAGGTGGTGTGTATACTCCCTCTAGGAGAAATAGGTTTATATACTTACTCTAGGAGAAGGTTGTATGTATACTCCCTCTAGGAGAAGGAGGTTTATATACTCCCTCTTGAAGAAGGTGGTTTGTATACTCCCTCTAGGAGAAGGTGGTATGTATACTCCCTCTAGGAGAAGGTGGTGTGTATACTCCCTCTAGGAGAAGGTGGTATGTATACTCCCTCTAAGAAGGAGGTATATATACTCCCTCTAGGAGAAGGAGGTATATATACTCCCTCTAGGAGAATATGGTATGTATACTCCCTCTAGGAGAAGGAGGTATATATACTCCCTCTAGGAGAAGGAGGTATATATATTCCTTCTAGGAGAAGGTGGTATGTATACTCCCTTTAGGAGAAGGTGGTATGTATAATCCCTCTAGAGGAAAGTGGTGTGTATACTTCTTCTACCAGAAGGAGTTTTTTTAGTCTCATTTTCTTTTCTTCTTCACCATTGTAATTTCCCTCCATTATCCTGGCATTTTTTTATTCTCTTTAATCAAAGTTCTAATGAATTTATTGATAAAAATTTTTTATTGAAAATAATAAAGAAATAAATATTTCTAATTTGTGAATATTCTCTTTCAGAACTTTAAACAATTGATTTAAAAACTTCGAGCTAATTGATCATCTCGGTGCATTCCTTTTTTCAGGTTTAATGCATTGTCTCTTTAATTTCCCTATTATTCAGGACTCTTTGGTTTCAATAGACTCCGGGTATAGTGGAGTAGTGTGGTATAGTAGAGTATACCTGGAGCAGGTTACAGGTGCTACTGGAGCTGGATGGTGGAAGTGTAAAGCTGGAGCGCTTTCTGAAACTGCCAGGTATTCTCAATAAAACAGAGTTCGATGGCTTATAAATTACAAGGGTGATATTTTTTTAAGAAAAAAATCTTTTCATTACTTGTTATAGCCTTATAAATATATCTTTTTATATTTTACTTTACATATTGTTGTATATAAGAGTGTAAGCGTAATTTCAAGAAACCCTCCATGCAGAGAGGGCAATGTCCGATTTAAAACATTTGTGTACGTTCGTCGAGTATAGATGTGTGTGTAAACCCTTCGAAACCAACTTGTATTCAGTTAGACTGTACACTGGAATTTGCAGCTGAATTCAAAAGGGTTTCGAAAAGCTTTCGACGAAAGCGCAAAAGTTTTAATTGGGTACCCTTGTAAATCAAGCGTTGCTCTCTTTGCACGAAGGGTCACTTGAAATTACGCTTTCAGTCCCTTTAAGACTTGTTATTGTGAGCTAGGGTCAAAGGGGGGGGGGGAAGATGATTTTAATATGTAAAATGTAAATGTAAGTGTAAAACTGTAAAATGTTGAATAAAACATTAGGTTTGAATATAAAAGAAGTGAAGTGTCAACTGTCCACTTCTTATCAAAAGAGTTTGAGATGTTTTATGCTCTTTCCTTCAATTCTATATTCAACAATATGATTACTATTCAACTCTATATTCAATAATATGATTACTATTCAACTCTATAATCAACAATATGATTACTATTCAACTCTATATTCAACAATATGATTACTATTTAACTCTATATTCAACAATATGATTACTATTCAACTCTATATTCAACAATATGATTACAATTCAACTCTATATTCAACAATATGATTACTATTCAACTCTATATTCAACAATATGATTACTATTCAACTCTTAACTGACTTTGAACTTTTCCCCTTATCCCTCACCGTTGGTTAAAAGAAAAGTTTTCAATCAAACGTAAAAAAAAATAATTAGAAAACAATTTTATTTATTGAATGATTTTAATTCAATTTATATTTTATATATATTTATTTTTTTATTTGAAACTTCATTTTTCAAAACTCTATTTTTCAACCGCTGGAATAAATTGAAATAATGATAAATACACAAAGTAGTGCAAAAATATTTCAGAAGAGGACAGGGAGGGAGGGAAAGGGGGATCTAGTCATGTCGTTACCAAACCTGCAGTCCAGTTATATATACCGATTATTGTAATCCTGAATTGTAATCGTACTGCACACACATTTACTCGTACAAGCCCGTCAAGTGAAACCAGTGTGATTGTGGTTCCATGCAACAAATGTAGGCTGACAAGAACCATGTTATATATTTAAGATGCCTACAGTTTGAGATACATATGTTGATGGAGCGTAGGGATTCAATATTATTTATATACCGTTTGATTCATCAAAACTTATTTTTTTCATAAAATACGAGAGAAATATTATTTTATTAAAATTGTTCATTTTCTTTTTTTTTGTCGGAAATTTTGTCAGATTTGGACTTGAATGACATAATACCATTAAACTGAATATTTAACAAACCACTGTTAACTCAGAAATTTAAAACTCCTGAGGCCGAATTTAATGAATTTAAGCCGTGTCTGAAATCCGCCAAAAACCGGTTTCAATTAAGCGCCGGCTTAAGTCTTGAAACATTGAATACGATTTTAAGTGGAAACAACCAAATCTGAGCCGCGTCTCAAATTTAAGCCCTGGCTCAAATTCTTTACAATCAAAACCACTATTTGATCTATGTTTTTAATCTGATATTCCAGGATTGATGTTGCTGGATCTACAAAGCTTCTCAACCCTGAGAATACTCTGGGTGTTGAGAGAGAGAGCGGAGAACTGAACCGTGTAGGACGGATAGGAGAAGATATAGTTCTCTACTGTCCCTACCAAGGAACACCTCCGACTCAGTTCACCTGGTGGACAAAAGGTGAACTAAAAACCTCCGACCCTGTTTACCTGGTGGACAAAAGGTAAACTAAACACCTCCGACCCTGTTAACCTGATGGACAAAAGGTAAACTAAACACCTCCGACCCTGTTAACCTGGTGGACAAAAGGTAAACTAAACACCTCCGACCCTGTTAACCTGGGGGACAAAAGGTAAACTAAACACCTCCGACCCTGTTAACAAAAGGTAAACTAAACACCTCCGACCCTGTTTACCTGGTGGACAAAAGGTATTAAGCCAAACAGCTCCAAGTCTAACCCGGTTCATCTACTATAGGTATAATACCACAGTTTGAAAATAAAAGTTTAAATTTTATATTCTCATTTTGGAATTTCAAATCTCACTACCGCCACACCTTTTTTCTAATTTCGATAAAAGGCATTTAATAATCTGAAAAGTCTCAAAATAATGTACAAAAACTAGCTCTCACAGCCTTCAATACCATTTTCTTTTAATTTGTGCATAAACTTTTCGCTCAAAAAGAAGGCATTTTATACAAACACGTTCAACTATGGGCAAAACAGTAAACACCCATGATCCTGTTTACGTTGTGGACATATTGTAAATTAAACTTCGTGATATAAAAGAGGAAGCAAAATGGGTTCCAATGGGTGGGTCACTTTAACATTTAGATTTAAATTAATATCTAAATAGTAAATAGCTCAAAAAGTTTAAAACCAATGAGATTTTGCTGTCGTTTTTAAATAGATTAATATATATATATTAACTTGATCTTTACATTAAATAGTTTAAAAATTGATTGCATTCAATTTTTTTGATTTATAGCTTCTTAGCTTTCCCTTCATCAAACCCCATTATTCTATGTAATTCTTTCTTCTACAAATAATACGTAATTTGGAAGGCCTTGTAACCTACAAAATTTTCTCTTCTAGACCATACTTCATATATTATTTTTATTGGAGTTATTTTGTTGAAATGATTTATTATTTGCTAGTAGTGAAAGAAACTGAAATGAAACAAGTGAAAAATCCATTACTTTCTCTTCTGTCATAAACAACGTATTGGTCGGTTATTTTATTATTATATATTTGATATATAAAGAAGAATTTGAGGTCGGTTTTATGAAACATTTTATTAGGTATTCCTGTGTTCTTTGTTTACATTTAATTTACTTTATTTGAGCTTTTGTTTTATGTACATTGTTCAATGTTCATACTTGAAAATGTAAAAGCATGAAAGTTTCATCCATTTTTACACAATCAGTTTTCAATACAGGTTTTAATCTTAATAACTGTAGTTTCAACTCTGTAGTTAGTAACTGCAGTTTCAACTCTATAGTTAGTAAACTAGTTTCAACTCTAGTTAATAACTGCACTTTCAACTCTCTAGTGAGTAAACTGTAGTTTCAACTCTGTAGTTAACAACTGCACTTTCAACTCTGTAGTTAATAACTGCAGTTTCAACCCTACAGTTATTAACTGCAGTTTCAACTCTGTAGTTAGTAAACTGTAGTTTCAACTCTGTAGTTAATAACTGCAGTTTCAACCCTACAGTTATTAACTGCAGTTTCAACTCTGTAGTTAGTAAACTGTAGTTTAAACTCTGTAGTTAATAACTGCAGTTTCAACCCTACAGTTAATAACTGCAGTTTCAATCCTACAGTTAATAACTGCAGTTTCAATCCTACAGTTAATAACTGCAGTTTCAACCCTTCAGTTAATAACTGCAGTTTCAACCCTACAGTTAATAACTGCAGTTATAACCCTGTAATCAATAACAGCAGTTTCAACCCTGTAGTTAATAACTGCAGTTTCAACCCTACAGTTAATAACTTCAGTTTCAACTCTGTAGTTAATAAATGCAGTTTTAACCCTACAGATAATAACTGCAGTTTCAACCCTGCAGTTAATAACTGTAGTTTCAACTCTGTAGTTAATAACTGCACTTTCAACCCTTCAGTTAATAACTGCAGTTTCAACCCCACAGTTAATAACTGCAGTTATAACCCTTTAGTCAATAACAGCAGTTTCAACCCTGTAGTTAATAACTGCTCCTACAGTTAATAACTGCAGTTTCAACCCTACAGTTAATAACTGCAGTTTCAACCCCACAGTTAATAACTGCAGTTTCAACTCTGTAGTTAATAACTGTACCTTCAACTCTGCACCAACATGATTTAAAATGTTCAGTAAAAAAACAACGTTTTATAAATTTTGATCCAAGGTTTGAATAGAACACTTCATTTCACACAGATTTAATAAGAGTCTGGTAGCAAGGGAGGATTTTCAAATATTGATAGATGGTTTTCATACTTCTCAAATATCAAAAATAGGATTTTTATCATTTAATTTCATCAAACATACTTTCTTTATATAAAATTCATTTTAACACATGTGTATTTTTACAGATAAGAAATAATACTACAATACAATTTGCTAATGTTATGATATAGTAAAAAAACAGCTGCTTGATAATTTCGGCCAACAATAAGTTTTTCTTCTCAAATCCATCCAAATCTATTTTATTTTCTCAGTATTAAGGAAGGATGGATTGAGAATCCTATCAGAATTTATAAGTTTTGTTAGGTTTGGTTTGGACAGGTTTAGACATGTGGAGACATCTGGAGACAGGATTTGGTAATAGAATCATCCCACGCTTTTACACTTATTTTCTCATATTTGATTTTTCCAATTTTTGACAAATATTAACCAAATTAATTAAAACCAAATGTAAAAAGTTTAAAGGCCCTGAGATACTGTTCTTATATACATAGACTCTGAAATATTGTACCAATAATTCGTTTCAAACTGTGAGCTAAGACTATGGGATACTGTACTTCTATAAATATAGGTCTCAAGCTCCAGCTAGTACTCTGAATACTGCATACTTGTATATATGTTTCAAGCTCAAGCTAGGACTTTGAGTACTGTATTTATATATAAGTTTCAAGCTCAAGCTAGGACTCTGAGTATGGTTTCCAGCCGTAATTACGTTACGCGTAAAACACTTTCTTTCACTTACGCAGGAGCATTACGCGTAATTACGCGTTTATTACGTTTACGAAAGAAAGTCTAGTTTCGCGTAATTAATAAATTACGCAAAAGTACGCCATAATTTCGCGAAATGGATATTTCTCCAATTACGCGTAATCCTGCGAAATTACACGAAATGAAAATTATTACGCGTAACTGCACGTAATTACGAGTAAGAGAATAATCTATTACGTTGGAAACCCTAACTCTGAGATACTGTACTTATATATAAGTTTAAAGCTCAAGCTAGGACTTTGAGTACTGTACTTATATATAAGTTTCAAGCTCAAGCTAGGACCCTGAGTTACTGTATTTATAAATAAGTTTCAAGCTCAAGCTAGGACCCTGAGATACTGTACTTATATATAAGTTTCAAGCTCAAGCTAGGACTCTGAGATACTGTACTTATATATAAGTTTCAAGCTCAAGCTAGGACCCTGAGATACTGTAAACTCATCCAACCTGAAATTCCCCTTTACAGGATTATTCCCCCTTATGAAGACCTGATAAAAGAAAAGTAAAAGTAAGGATGGATACCTTCAGTCATTCTTAGATAAATACTGTATCAAACAGGGGCGTACTCAGGGGGTTGGGGGCTCAGCACACATGGAGTCCAAAACCCCCTGGAAACCATAGAATGATAGACTTCATTGTTCCAGGGAGGGTGAACGTCCATATCCCCGAGTACTGATTTGATTTTAAAAGAAAAGGGGTTTCTGTATAATGTCAAGATGTTTGTAATTTAAAATGCTTTCAATATTTCGACCAAAACAGTACATCTAGCAGCGCTTATAGCAAGCCAAATAAATTCGATCCCTTAAGATGAAGAGAGCATGGTCACTGCAGGGGAATTGGACATTTGGGAAATATTTCGGATTTGATTGCTTCATTTTTGTACCACGAGTGTATGTGCTTAAGCAGATTTTTTTTAAACTGCTCTTTCAAATTACACTTGATAGAAAGCACAATAATATTTATATAATACTAGCTGAACTGACTGGCGTTGCCCGTGGAATTTATAATCACAAATTTTTGCTTGGCCAGCTGCATATAAATAGTGAAAAGCTTTTTTATATAGATTACAAAAAATACATGTAAACAAGAAATATGTATATCTTAATAACCAGGGGTTTGTTCAGGAAGGAGAATCGGAGAATCTACGCGGTTCAGGTTTCCTGAACCAGGTTTACTCCGGGTACTAAACCTGACTGTGTCGGAGCAAGGAACCTACACCTGCAGAGCTAAGGTTCAAGAAGGAGAAGATTTATCTGGGTCTATTCAACTTACTGTGATAGGTAAGCGGCCATTTTATGGCATTGAACAAAAAGTAACTAAGCCTTGTGGTCAAGTAGGAAAAAGTAATGAGGGGGGGGATTGGAAATAGCAGAACGGGGGGAAGAGTTGAAATAAAATATTATACCCATGTCCCTGACCAAACAGTTCATATTAAATAACAGAGATGAAATCCTCAGAATATAAATGACCCTAACGTGAACAAGGGAGAATAAATGATAGATAGATAGATAGATAGATAGATAGATAGATAGATAGATAGATAAAACAGATTCAACGATTACAATCGACGTAATTTAAAGTGAATTCTTCATATATAGAGTTGGATAATTCATTTTCAAGAAAAACGATCCTGATACAATCAGTATAAAAACGATCCTGATGCAATCAGTGTGAAAAAAAAATATCTTTATCTCTCAATATATTTGTAAGTGGTGGTTTTGGGAGATGTCAAAGTTGGAGATGATTTGCGCTCAAATTCAGGATTTACAGATTTACAGAAGTTTTCCACAACACTGCATACTCAGTTCAACTACCTTACATAGCCGGTCACTCCCTTTATTTAAGGTTGAGTTTTTGGAGAGGTTGGAAAACTAAGTAGGCTTGAAAAGAAAGGATGAGTTGGGAGAGGGGAAAGGTTTTGATGGAGGGGGGCAGGTTGAGTTTTGGTTCGAATGGGGGGGGATAGGAGGGTTGAGGGTGTTGTGTGAGAAGTAGTGATTGAACAATAGTTCTCTATTCAATGAATAATCAGAAATGAAGAATAAAGAGGATATTGGATGGACATGAGAGGATGATGGTAAATAAAAGATGTAATCTAGAATTCAGCAGACTGAGCAAGTTTTTATCTGGTTCAGCTCATTCTCAGATATTCTTTTTATATTATCATTCTTGTAATCTCTAGGTTTATCATATAATCTCTAGGTTTAGTTTATAATCTCTAGGTTTAGTTTATAATCTCTAGGTTTAGTTTATAATCTCTAGGTTTAGATTATAATCTCTAGGTTTATTATATAATCTCTAGGTTTATTATATAATTTCTAGGTTTAGATTATAATCTCTAGGTTTAGTTTATAATCTCTAGGTTTAGTTTATAATCTCTAGGTTTAGATTATTATCTCTAGGTTTAGTATATAATCCTTAGGTTTATTATGTAATCTCTATATTTAGTAAATAATCTCTAGGTTTAGTTTATAATCTCTAGGTTTAGTATATAATCTCTAGGTTTAGTATATAATCTTTGGGTTTAGCGTATAATCTCTAGGTTTAGAATATAATCTTTAGGTTTAGTATTTCATGTCTAGGTTCAGTATATAATCTCTAAGTTTAGTATATAATCTCTCGGTTTAGTATGTACTTTCTTGGTTTAGTATATAATCTCTAGGTCTAGTATAAAATCTCTAGGGTTAGTATATAATCTCTAGGTTTAGTATATAATCTCTAGGTTTATTATATAATCTCGAGGTTTAGTATATAAGCTCGAGGTCTAGTATATAATCTCTAGGTTCAGTATATAATATCTATGTCTACATATAGTGGTATAATCCCTAGGTTCCGTATGGTTGGAAAATAAAAGATGTCTCTACAACCATGAAACCATATAGAGAACATAACTGTTTTATATGGATTTTACAGTCCTGTCTCTGTAGTCTTTCTAATATCTCTCCCTTCTGTTTATAGACCTCTCCCCCCATTTTATCATCCACTTCTATCCCTTTTCTCTTCTCTTTGTTGCTTGAATCAATATTGCAATTGTTCTAAGTTATGTTTATAACCTTTTTGCATAAAATAATTGTTCGAGAAATGCATTTTATGCATTTGCTGGGGAATAAGAATTTTGTTTCCCAAAGTATCAGGCACAGCCTGTATTAAATTTGCTCGAAACTGAAAATTCAAATAGAAGCAAGAGTGGATTTTAAAGCATGACTCTGAGATCTTGTTATGCTCAAAAGGAGATTATCCATTCTGCTTTAAAGGGAGTGGTTGGGAAAGCAAAATGGGGCTTAGAACACCTTCCGATATATTTTATGAGGAACGCTTTTTTATTTTATTCCAAAATTTTGATTTTTTTTGGTCTGAATTTGGTTTTTAGATGAAAATCTTTTTCCAATTCCATTATTTGATTTGATAAAAGCATAATTGTTTCCTCCTCCTTCTACACCATTATTTCCTTTTTACATTCATATTCATCTTTTCTCCATTCATATTCATCTTTTCTCCATTCAGATTCATCTTTTCTCCATTCAGATTCATCTTTTCTCCATTTAGATTAATATTTTCTCCATTCATATTCATCTTTTCTTCATTCAGATTCATCTTTTCTCCATTTAGATTCATCTTTTCTCCATTCATATTCATCTTTTCTACATTTATATTAATTTTTTCCTCATTTTGATTAATCTTTTCTGCATTCATATTAATTTTTTCTACATTCTAATTCATCTTTCCTACATTCATATTATTTTTTTCTACATTCTAATTCATCTTTTCTTCATTCAGATTTATTTTTTCTACATTCTAATTCATCTTTCCTACATTCATATTAATTTTTTCTACATTCTAATTCATCTTTCCTACATTCATATTAATTTTTTCTACATTCTAATTCATCTTTCCTACATTCATATTAATTTCTTCTACATTCTAATTCATCTTTCCTACATTCATATTAATTTTTCCTACATTCATATTAATTTTTCCTACATTCATATTAATTTTTCCTACATTCATATTAATTTTTTCTACATTCTGATTCATCTTTCCTACACTCATATTAATTTTTTCTACATTCTGATTTATCTTTCCTACATTCATATTAATTTTTTCTACGTTCAGCTTCATCTTTCCTACATTCATATTAATTTTTCCTACATTCATATTAATTTTTTCTACATTCAGATTCATCTTTCTACAATCAGTCTTTTTTCTAATTTTTCCCCCGTAAAAGTAGAATTCCGGGATAGTTCTGGACCAAATATTGACTGGAAACTTTTAGGTTCTAATTCCGTGAACCGGAATATTTCCAATTTCCATTCTGTGAACCGGAAAAATTCCAGTTTCCATTCCGAAAACCATAAAATTTCCATTTTGTCCGGAAGTATTCCGGAATTCCATGCGGAAGTAAAAAAAGAATTAAATAAATGTATTTATTCAGAGAATGGCGCATCTTGTGCAATGCAATGCTTACAGCTTTCAACAAAATAATTTCCTTATGCTTTGAACCAAGTACTTGCTTTAATTGCCTATTTTCTTTATTTTTTATTCTTTTCATTACACAGTGGAACCCGACAAACGTTGGAATAAAATGAAGACATTAACAATGTGAACAGAATTTCAGATCGGTTTAGTTTAACACGTTTTATTATTGTGTTAGAACCTATGTTTGTTTAAATTCATTAATCGATTTACCCAAGATTTTCATACATTTTATAATGATTCAGTTAACAACCAACGTTGTTTAGATTCAAGGGCAAAGAATAATTTGACATAAAAACAAATGCAGACAGATTCTATTTGATCTAATTTTAATTTATAAACAAGTTATTTCTAAAATTGTTTTCTACATTATTTACAAAATTTTGTTTTGGAACCCTGTAGATCGATGAAAAAATGCCGCGTAACACGAAACCATTATACGGGGTAAAAAAACTAAATCTTTTCCGTGTCACTCATTCATTTTAATTTTTGACATACAGAGAAAACCAGAAAACTCTGGAATAGTAAGACGACCTTTAGACTCAATTAATTACTTTGAACAGTTCACGGCACATGAATTGAGCAGTATAAACTGACCCATTTCACTAAATGGACCTGATACACATGAATTGAGCAGTATAAACTGACCCATTTCACTAAATGGACCTGATACACATGAATTGAGCAGTATAAACTGACCCATTCACTAAATAAATAAAATTATTTCCTTCTAACCAACATCGTCTTCCAATTCAACAATTGTTTGGTTCTCACTGTATGTAGCTAAATATTACATGCATCAAATGTAAAAGTAACATAATGGATATGTATGGTGTCATGAAGTTTCTGGTCTGGAGTAGTAGAGGGAGGTAGAGCTAGAGTTAGCTGTGAAGCAGTTCAAGGTTCTCCTCCACTTCTCTTCTCATGGTCTAACATTAACCAGACCAGTCAACATATCCTTATATCCCAGGTATACCAGGAGTAATATATCCTTATATCCCAGGTATACCAGGAGTAATATATCCTTATATCCTAGGTATACCAGGAGTAATATATCCTTATATACCAGGTATACCAGGAGTAATATATCCTTATATACCAGGTATACCAGGATTAATATATCCTTATATCCAAGGTTTACCAGTAGTAATATATCCTTATATCTTCCTGTAGGTATACCAGGAGTAATATATCCTAGTATCCCAGATATACCAGGAGTAATATATCATTATATCCAAGGTTTACCAGGAGTAATATATCCTTATATCTTCCTGTATGTATACCATGAGTAATATATCCTAGTATCCCAGGTTTACCAGGAGAAATATATCCTTATAGCCCAAGTATTCCAGAAGTAATATATTCTTACATCTTCCCAGGTACACCAGGAGTTATATATCCTTATATCCCAGGTATACCAGAAGTTATATATCCTTATATCCCAGGTATACCAGGAGTAATATATACTTATATTCCATGTATACCATGATTCATGTATACTTATATCCTGGTATACCAGGAGTAATATATCCGTATATTTCAGGTTTACATGTAGTAATATATCCCAATATTCTTGTATACAAGGAATAATATATCCTTATATCCTAGGTATACCAGGAAAAATATATCCCAATATCCTTGTATACAGGGAGTAATATATCCTTATATTCCAGGTAAACCGGGAGTAATATATCCTTATATCCCAGGTATACCAAGAGAAATATATCCTTATATCCCAGGTTTACCAGGAGAAATATATCCTTATATCCCAAGTATTCCAGAAGTAATATATACTTATATCTTCCCTGCATGTACTCCAGGATATCCTTATATCCCGGGTATACCAAAAGTAATATATTTTTATATCTTCCCAGGTATACCAGGAGTTATATATCCTTTTATCCTTATAATGTTTTACATTATGAAAAGTTAATAACTTGATCATTCAAGGTTTTTTATTTAATTTCAAATATTATAGGGTGAGGATGGTTTTAGCTCAACCCTGTCTATTCCTGTGGTTTCCAGATCAGATGCTGGATTATATACATGTACAGTGAACAACTCTGCTGGATCAACTCAGTACACAACAGTTCTTACAGTTAATTGTAAGTATCCTTCCTTCCTTCCTTCCTTCCTTTCTTCCTTCTTTCCTTCCTTCCTTCCTTCCTTCCTTCCTTCCTTCCTTCTACAAAACGTAAATAAAAGTTTTGAAATGTTCTCTTCTGCTCAGCAGTGTGAAAAATTAAATAACTAGAGCAAGGTCTAATCCCCTCATATTTTGTTTCTAACATACTTTTCCCTTGTAAATATTTGAATACCAACCATGGCAAGAACTTCCAGGGATTGCGCATTTCCACTCTGAGCATATATTTTACTACAAAGTTCTTGTCATTTAATATAAGATGTATCATTAGGATGATATTACAGGGACTAGGGCGGGTTCAGATCTTCAACTAGATTTATTCTTGTATTGAGAAAAGTTTGGTAGAGAGAAGGTTTGTTGATTCTACAGAGTTGCAGACATTACAGATCTATTACGATTTAGGTTCATCCATCAATCAATCACATCAATCTAAATCTTCCAACCCAATCTACAGTACTCCCATTCATTTTTTCATGCCTCGATATCAGACTCTCTATGAGGTGCATTCTCAGTATTCTCTTCATTTTTAGTTTTCTCCTATGTCCCTGGTTCTCACCTTTCTATCCCCTCTATGTCCCTGGCTCTCTACTATCTATCCCCTCCATGTTCCTGGTTCTCTACTATCTATCTCCTCCCTGTCCCTGGTTCTCTACTTTATATCCCCTCTATGTCCATGGTTCTCTACTATCTATCCCCTCCATGTCCCTGGTTCTCTACTATCTATCTCCTCTATGTCTCTGGTTCTCTACTACCTATTCCCTCTATGTCCCTGGTTCTCTTCTATCTATCCTCTCCATGTCCCTGGCTCTCTTCTATCTATCTTCTCTATGGCCTTGGTTCTCTACTATCTATATCCTCTATGCCCATGGTTCTCTACTTTATATCCCCTATATGTCCCTAGTTCTCTTTTATCTATCCCCTCCATGTCCCTGGTTCTCTACTATCTATCCATTCTATGTCCCTGGTTCTCCACTATCTATCCCCTTGATGTCCCTGGTTCTCTACTATCTGTCCCCTCTATGTCCCTGGTTTCTACTATCTATCCCCTCTATGTCCCTGGTTCTCTACTATCTATCCTCTCTATGTCCCTGGTTCTCTACTATCTATCCCCTCTATGGTTATGGTACTCTGCTCTGTCCCTCCTAGAATATAATCAGGAAGATTTAGTATGTGTTTCATCTTTTCTAGTTTCGGAAAATCTGTAGAAATCTGGAAACTGAATGGAAGGCAATTTACACTAGGTTTGGCGAGCTCAAATCTTTGCATAAAATAGATTTATGTTTGTTATCTTGAACCAATGAAAAAAATACATTTTTTAGAGGGTTGAACAGAGCAACGTAGACAATCACTTTTTATTTCTGAACTTTCATGAATTTGTTGAAGAGGTTCACAGGATAAAAAAATGAAAGGAAACAGCATATTCTAAACATCTTGATCCCTTGAAAGAGAAATCTTAATTTTGAATTTTAGAAGGCCTAGTTAACAGTAGGAAAATGCAGAGGAGGAAAGGACTGAAAGGAAGGAAGGAAAGAAAGGGAAAAGGAAGGAAAGGAAAACAAGGAAAAGATGGGTAGGAAAAAGAGAAATAAGGAAAGAAGGGATGAGAACAGAGAAAAGGGAGGAAAGGATGCAAGGTAACGAAAGGAAAGAAAAGGAATGAAATGAAAAAAAGGAAAAGAAGGAAAGGAAGGAAAGGATGAAAGAAAGGAAAGAAGGATAGGAAAAAATGTAAAAAGAGAAAAGAAGAAAGGAGAACGAAGGAAAGGAAGAGAATAGAAGAAAGGACGGAGAGAATGGAAAAGAAAAGAAAAGGAAGAAAAGGAAAGGAAGGGAATAAGAGAGTAAGCAAAGGAGGGAAAAGAGTGCATATTGGAAAAATAACTTTTCCTGTATTCATCGGGGCTTTAGAAGCTGTAAATGTAATTTGAATATTTTTAAACTTGACAAGGATGATTCATGTCTAGAATATTCGGCACAAGTATTCAAATCAAAAAATTCAGATTTTTCTTTTTTCAGGATAATCCAGGTTCATGTTTTCATGATGCTTCAGTTTAAACCATGTACAATTAACCAAGTTTAAAGATATATTAGAAACTACCATTTAGAGTTTTATTGTAGACTTTTGATATTTCTTAATTCCTGTTATGTTCATATAGCCTTAATGGTTTGCACCATCAGGTTGCAATATAGGGATCATATCCCAGAATTTGTGGCAAAAACTCAGTTCCTTTTTATCCACATAAAAATGACTCATTTAAGTTCAAAATTAGGATTTCTAGAATTTTGATTCTTTTACTAGTATCGTGATATATGGATTAAAATATTATATTTTGTAGAAAAACCCAGTTCCTGATAAATGTTTAGATTCCCCGGAGTGGGTTGCACCACCTCAAGACTCCAGGGTTACCCTTGGATCCCGTCTAGTCCTAGACTGCAGGGTGAGAGGAGAACCTAAACCTGAGATAGAATGGACCCGGAGAGGAGCTGTATTGAACCCTGTGACCTGGGATGGATACAAGTAAATATATATTATCCTATTATCAATCCTTTGTAACAGAGAGCCGGGGAATGGGTCGGATAAATGAATTGCGGGGAAATACGAAAAGATTAAATATTTGTAACTTTCTTAATGGAATTATTACACATTTTATATATCTGTTCAATAGGAGGTGGTATAATTCAAAATATATTCTATTTCAATATTACGTGAGGTGTACTTAGTTTACCATGGTTAGTACCTGATATATATTCCTATAGTAGAGTGAGGAAAGAAAAGAGAATAATTTCATAATCTTAAAGGTCCAATAAATCTAACACACTTATTCAGAGAGAATTTGTATTTAAGACTTTAAATACGTTTTGTAAAGTTACATGAAGGCAACAATGTTGTACTTGTAACTAAACTATAATAAGAGAATTTTTGAAACGGAATCACAATCAGAAGCAAATCTATTTTCGGTAATAAAACACAATAATTTGTTCATAATATTTGGTTTAATGATAGGTTAGAGGGTAGCGTTGTGCGCCTGCCATGACCCTCTTTTAAAAGAAGGGCAGGGGAATTTAAAACTACGCAAACAGGCCCTTAAACTACGACAATATATCTTATAAAGCTATTTTTTAGATTTTTCAAACCCTACAGTGTTTTTAATCTGCGCCCTATGTCTAAACTCAAATTTTTGAAGAGATTAGTTTAAGGAATATTTTATTATATATGAGAACGGGATAGATTAAAGAATGTTTCAGGATATATGAGAACGGGATAGATTAAAGAATGTTTCAGGATATATGAGAACGGGATAGATTAAAGAATGTTTCAGGATATACGAGAACGGGATAGATTAAAGAATGTTTCATGATATATGAGAACGGGATAATTTAAAGAATATTTCAGGACATATGAGAACGGGATAGATTAAAGAATGTTTTAGGATATATGAGAACGGGATAGATTAAAGAATATTTTAGGATATATGAGAACGTGATAGATTAAAAATATTTCAGGATATATGAGAACGGGATAGTTTAAAGAATATTTCAGTATATATGAGAACGGAGCTGAAAACTTTAGAATGGTGGATATCAGGATAAATGCTAAATCCACTCTTTTTCTTAATCTCCAGATTAAATATTGCTTGTTCTCCTCATGAACTTAATCTCCAGATTAATTATACGATCGGGATTAAGGATATCCCATTCTAAAGTTTCCAGCTCGGGATAGATTGAAGAATATTTCAGGATATATGAGAACGGGATAGTTTAAAGAATATTTCAGTATATATTAGAACGGGATAGATTAAAGAATATTTTAGAATATATGAGAACGGAATAGATTAAAGAATATTTCAGGATATATGAGAACGGGATAGATCCACTCTTTTTCTTAATCTCCAGATTAAATATTGCTTGTTCTCCTCATGAACTTAATCTCCAGATTAATTATACGATCGGGATTAAGGATATCCCATTCTAAAGTTTCCAGCTCGGGATAGATTGAAGAATATTTCAGAATATATGAGAACGGAATAGTTTAATGAATATTTCAGAATATATGAGAACGGAATAGATTAAAGAATATTTCAGGATATATGAGAACGGAACTCTTGAGATCATCTCTACCAGACTCCGGGACCAAGGAGAGTATACCTGCTCCGCCAGCAATTCCGTCCTTCCTCATCTTTCAAGATCGGTTCAAGTTCAACTCAACGGTAGGATTCAATATATATAAATATATATATATACAGGGGGACCCACAAAGAATAAGACTAGCTTTGGAGAAGATTGCACAAAATGAATTCAATCTTTTCTTCAAATTCTTGGTTTCATGTATTTGTAGAATGTTTTATTATTTAATTAATGTGAATATGATTCAATTAAATTCTTTTAAATCATTATATTCCAGCTCTAACAAGTTCTGCCTTCAGATCGCTAAATGTAAAGAGTTTTAGGTCGTTCTTTAAATCTCATTCGTTATAGGTAACCCTGTAGATTAGCGCCTGGTTATAGAGAGAGTTAATACTATGAGTTATATTTTTGTGAAGTTGCATTTATGCATTTGATATTAGTTATCTGGTGGGTTAAATATCGGGGCTCAATTTTAGAATAAGATTCGTCCATTCCCCCCCCCCCCCCTCTTATTTCTGTACAATACTGACACCATGCACACCTAACTACTCGAACACAATTGGTTTTATAAAGAAACTGAGTTTTGCCCCCACATAACTCTTCCATTTTCCATCCTTTAATATTTAAAACTATGAATTTTGTCAGATCAAATATTCTAAGTTTGAAATATCAAAGGTTTACACCAACCAGTTGCAAAGATATATGGATTAGACAATTTGAGGTTGTGGCAAAAACTCAAATTCTTCGATTGTTTCACGGCTTTGATTGGTTTTATAGATGATGTTGGGTTAAGATTGATTTAGTGGTTTGAATAGTTCAAAACTTAGTCCAGGTTTAATTCAGGTTAATGGATTAGAATTTCTTTGTCAATTTTTGGGGATTTAGTGTCGATATCGCATTAGGTTATGAAAGGTTTGAGCTACAGGGTTACATGGTTACCCACAAAGGATGATGCTGTAAAGACGACGTGAAATTCTTAAAATATGATAATTTCAAGAGTAAATTAAGTCTTCTGCCTTGAATATAGACTTTCAAGCACCTATTTACATTTTACAATTTACTATTTACATTTTACTGATTTGGAAAAGAAAGACATAAGTTAAAAGTTGTAGGAAACTATGAATATGAGGAAACAGATAGTATTCATTCCTACAGTTGTCTCTAAAGCCTCATCCTTTGTGGGTAACCCTGTATGTCTGACAAAAATTAGATTTTTTACAACTAAAATGTAACCAAGATTAATATAGAAAAATGTACTTCATTGTATTTGTAAATTTTCTGAGGCTGTCTAGGATACTCTTGGAATTTATTTATTAAAAATGCGGGAATTTTTGTTCCCAAATCAACTGCAGAAATACCGGCAAGAACAGATATAAAATAGAAATTTGTTAAAATGAAGAAAATAAAAAAATACACATTCAATGTGGGCCTTTTTCATATCATAAATACTGTGAGAAAATGTATGGAAAAACACTTTTCCTTAAAACTGCCATTTTCTTTTTTAACTTTCCTAATTGTTTAAGAAAAGAAAATGATACGGGTAACTAACTATACGATATATAAAGTATTTGTTGTGAAGTTTAAAGTTTGGGGGAATTAAGTTAGAACAAGTTTTCAAGAGATTTGTTTTCTACAACTGGTTCTCTGATACACTGATACACTGATTACTGGTTCTAGTCGGAGCTTACTTCTACCCGGAGCAGGACGAACTGCAGGGGGAGAGGAGAGAGAAGGTTGGAGAACAGGATGGTTCCGAGGATATTGACGATGAAACTCTTAAAGATCTTCAACAAAGTATAAGGTAAGTTTGTTTTGGCTAAAATCATTAAGTAGTTTATGATATTTTTTTCGACCTGAATTTCTAGTAATGATATGTCTATTTGATCAAATAAAACAAGTATTCTACCTACAATTTCCATATTTGCCATAAAAATACCATACATTTTGATTATCATGAGCAGCGGTTGAAACATAAATAAAGCATTTAAGATTTAAAGTACATTTATAGGATAAATCGGTACAAGCAAAATCTATATACATTATACATTTATACTCTTTGTGTTCTGAAATCATATAATACCATGCTACGGCGAAATAAAACAATGAAGAATGTAAAGAAAAGTTTTTGCCATTTTTGAAAATAATCTTTTATCAAACATTTGCGTACTTTTAAGGGTTCGGTCTGAGGAGAGGGTTATCTTATCTTGTAATCCACACGGTGATCCACCCCTGGAGATATACTGGTTTAGAGATAACAAACCCATCCCTTCTCCAAACCATAGGTTTAAGGTACCAGGGTTAGAACTATATACGGAGAACAAATATTCTAGAGTTTAGACTAGTCTAATTAAAAAGCTGCGTAAATGTTCACCAAATCATCAATGGAAGGAAGTATACATGAGCCACAAATTTTCTAATTTTCATATTTTTACCATCTTTATGCGTAACCCTTTGATATGCTAGACTATTACACTAGAGTTTCAGTAGAAATAAATATTTCCATTTACTGATAGCGCCGATTGAAGGATTCATAACTCTAATTGAATAATGAGATAGATAGAAAGATAGATGTTACCGCCATACTGTTTCTATTGGTTCAGAATAGACAACAAACACATGACTGAACCCTGATTGGATTAGGCGCTAATGGACTTGGCATACTGGAGTGATTAGATCTAACAGAATTCATATTTTTAAATATAAAAGGTCCACGACATCAGGCTGCAAAGATATTTGTATAAAAATTAGAATTTTTGGCGAGTGTCCATTCCAAAGGGATATTTTACTTTTGATTAATTTAATAATGGTCTTTTGACCCAAAATTATAAATGACAAAGTACTTCATTTCAATTATGAAAAAAAGAAGAAAAAATGATAATCTATGTTTAGATAAAGAACGAGGACAAGAATGGAACTGTTTCTAAGGAATATTAAATTAATATTTTTAAATATATTTTTATTATTGAGATAACTTAAGTTAAACTTCAAAATTACAGAATTTAGAATGCGACTCTAATGACGACCTAAAGTGAAAAGAAAACCATAATAGGAAATAATACTAAATAAATTCTGAACAGTCGTCTCTGCAGGATCATCCTTTGCGGATAACCCTTTCTCTTTATCTTTTCCCTTCATTAATATTTAACCAGAGCTGAAAACTTTAGAATGGGATATTCTTAATCCTGATCTGTTAATTAATCCGGATATTAAGAACATGAGGAGAACAAGCAATATTTAATCTGGAGATTAAGAAAAAGAGGAGATCAAACAATGATCTCGGAATTCACCATTCTAAAGTTTTCAGCTCTGATCTAATAAGAAGGTTTGTAAATATAGTTTTCAGCTCTGATCTAATAAGAAGGTTTGGAAATATAGTTTTCAGCTCTGATCTAATAAGAAGGTTTGGAAATATAGTTTTCCAATTCTGGAGGATTTGGAAGAAATAATTAAAAGTTTATTTCTCGAAGATCCTGCAGGTTTTTATTCAACATATATGTAGAATGATTAGAACTCTTTTAACCCTATTTGGCCTGGATTGGGGTCAATTTGAACCCTATCGTTTTTTTGTGATAACTCAAAAAGTATTTGAGGCAGGAAGGTCACATTTTCTGCGTTTTCTAACTAATACATACCCCTCACTTAAGACTAAGAGCTGGCCTTGTATCGTACTGCCTGAGTTCTCAGGCATACTGCCTAAATGTCTATTTTTACCTATGCCAGACTAAATATATATTTAGACCTACTTCCAGTCATTGAATTTCAACATTTTAAAGCTCTTTGGAAAGCCTCTTACAATAGCAAGAAGATTGCTTAATTTTTGCAAAGAATTTTTGCACAGATTTTTGCACATACGCCTTCAAAGGGATTTTGAACATTTTTAGTTTTTCTTGAATACCCTTTTTTTTGCACATTTTTTGCTTTATAATAAGATTACGCAACAAATATTTGAATTTTTGCAAATTTTCTATTTTTTAGTAGATTATTGGAGTAGAGCCCAAGGGTTTACCAAAAACGTATCAAATTTTATAGATTTGTGTCACAATAAGAAAATAGAGGGGGGCCAGTCAGTAAACCAAACGTCAGGCTAAATGGGATTAAACATAGAAAAACGACCAGATCTTCCACATTTTTATCAGATACAGGTTTCATAAGTAGCTTTGTAAATCGGGCATTGAAATCTTTGCTAGAAGGGTTCCTTGAAATTACGCTTACAGTCCATTAAAAGAGTTGTGTTTAAATTGTGCGAGCTTTTAGTACATATTTTAAAGTTGTACTACGAATTATTGATCGAAAATATTGATTGATAAATACAGATCGTGATTCGGAGATCAAGTTTATTGGACAGCGGTGTGTTTGTTTGTACTGCAAGAAACCGGTTTGGAGAAGCTAACAAAACATTTCATCTTCTTGTTCAGGTTAATCAACTTGTTTTCTAATTCTTTCATTCCTTCGTTTCTCTTCCTAGTCTCAGCTTTTTACTAACTCATTTTATTTGACGGATAGTGTTTTTATTTCTCCAGAACTTGGCCTTTTCAATCTAATATATGATATACCATAGAGCAAATCCTAACCAGGGCAATCACATTTAATTCAATAATCATTTAAATTAACGATATTGTCCTTTTTTTTACTTTTTTATTGAAAAAAGCCAACATAAAAGTATGAAAAAGGACGAAAAAGTTATGTTTATTTGGTGTATACTCAACTCAGTTAAATTATATACATACTTAATTTACGTTCTTCACTTTTCGCATTTTTAAAGTTTTTTTTAACCAGTTTTTTCGATTTCAGAAACTTTTTACTTGCCTCAAACTCAAAATTTCTAATCTTACATCTTTAATAACTCAATAAAATAAAATTTTGCCAAAAAAAATCGAATTTTTAAAGAAAAAAAAATAAATTTAAAAAAATTCAGCCACTTTGGTATATCCGTTTGGCCAGCTTTAGCTAACGTATACATATAGATTAAAGAAATTTATTATACAGTAAATCTCAGATATATGAAAACATATCAAGAGTTTTTTATATTAATTTCGTATTACATATTTAAGATCAAATGCATTCATATTTCAGGGCTATTAATTTACCTTGAATTAGAAATAAAAAGAAGTTTCTTTAGAATTATCAAAAGATTTATGACGGTCTACTTATTCATATATCTGGGATTCACTGTTTCAATTGCAAAAGAATTTGCATTAAAAAAATATCTTTTAAGGATGTTCCTGGTGCGGTAGAAATCCTCCATATTCTTGATTATTCATCAAGGAAAATATTCATGATTTAAATATTATACAGTCAGAACTAGAAAACTTTGGAATAAAAAGACGACTGTTAGACTCAAGTCATGACTTTAAATAGTCCAATGAACATGAGACACAGAAGACCAATGAGACCAATATTTAATTTAATAACGGATTTAATAAGTTAGTAGTAAAACTATTTGCTTTGTTAAAACATAAGATTGATGTATAGTGTATAGTGTATTCCACAGTTTTCTGGTTTGCACTGTACACTAAATGTTTTTTTGAAATGTCTATGAGCGATTTAACAAGAGAAACCATACGGTTTGTATGAGTTAACAATATCAATTTTAAATGTAATCACTATTTGATCTGCAATTCATGATCCTAATATATATCTTCTAAAAATTAATCTCCTTGCAAGCTATTTTATCATTCCGTATAAAATCTAATTCATTCTGTAAAAGTGTAAAATCAGCAACCTTTTAACATTTTGCTGAAAAGTCTATTCTGTCACCCAGAAGAATAAATAAACAAATCATTGTTTTCGGGAGGTTAAAGGGAGTGACCGTTATTTGATAATTTAATAAAAAACGATTCTCAAAACGTATCCACCCAAAAAGATGATTTTGAAAGTCGGTTTTGAGATCAAACTCTGTAAATATAAGTCGTAGAATAGTTTTAATATGTTTCCAATGAATCCTAAAAAAATTGTCCACAATACTGCAATCTCAGTTCAACCACCATACATTGCCGGTCACTCCCTTTAAGATTGGGTTGAAAAGAGAGGTAAGTTTACTGAAAATTTAGCAAAAATTTGGAATCTGTGTGACACTGACAACATAAGGTTTTCCTTCTTTTATTATTTGAAAAATAAAATTACATATCATGTTATTAGGGATTATAAAATTTGAGTTTGTGTCAAGGACTCAATTCTTTAGCTTATAATAAATAATCTAAGATTTGTACTTCGGAAAAGCGTTTGATAGCTCAAGATTTATACATAACGGGGCCGGATAGGTGGGAAAATGTTGAAATTTTTATACGAAAGACTTTCGTGGAACTTTTTATTAGAGGGGAGGATGGGGGATGTCATTAAACTTTTTTTAAAAGGAAATATTTAACCCCTATTGTTTACCCTACCTGGATATTACTAGGAGTGTGAACCTAAGCTGGAGTTCTCCCTCTGATAACAATTCTCCAATATCTGCCTTCCTTATATCCGCAAGGAGAGCTGCAGGTCAGATGTAAACTGTTTACAATTTTTTATGGAGAGGTAAATGGGAACTGATTACTTGCCTTAGCCCAACGAGGTTATAGTGTATAGAGTGATGATGTACGCTAATCCTTTACTAATTTTATAGGCCAGAAACTATACCGAGAGCGTACTGCATAATTGTTTATTATAAGTTGATACTGGTCTAACCTTTAGTATATCAATATTAGTAAACAGTTGTAAGTGTACAGTACAGCTAACTGGGCACACAGGTAGAGAACTATCATCCCCCTGCCTTAGCCTGATAATGTAAACAATTCAAATATTATCTATCTGATCTACAAAAAAGTGAAAATTCAGTTATCTTGTCTTCTTTAGAAAACACCACATTGGAATATGGCTGAAATGAAATAGCTGAATTTGCGCATTTGTTTGGTATTCGAATTGTGAATTTTCATTGTATACAACAACAAAACGTTCATATTTTGATGACTCAAATTTTTGTACAGGTTGGAAAAATTCCAAACAATGACAAAGCTACAACAACTTGAAGATTAAAAAGACACCTTGTAGAAGAATGGGAAAATTAGAAATTAGAAATTAGAAATGAATAACCACGTGAATGTCAAAAATACTTAAATGTCAAAAGTACCTGAATTGCAAAATTAATATACATTTTGAAAGGACTTTAATGATAAATCTCATCTTTATAATGCCTAAAAAATTTCTCATACAAATGTTTAAATGTAAAAGGTTTCATAATATCCAAAACAGCTTAACCTCAAAATGTGTATAAGTTACTAAATGTATAGTATTATGTGCAAAAATGGTTAAATGTGTAGTATTATGTGCAAAAATGGTTAAATGCGTAGGATTATGTGCAAAAATGGTTAAATGTGTAGGATTATGTGCAAAAATGGTTAAATGTGTATGATTTTGAGTGTACTGTACATGGCTAAATGTTTAGGTTGATATTAAAAATGGCTAAATGTCTAGGATTATGTGTATAAATGACTAAATGTGTAGGATTATGTGTATAAATGGCTAAATTTTTAGGTTTTTTTGTATAAATGGCTAAATGTGTAGGATTATATGTATGACTAAATGTGTAGGATTATGTGTATAAATGGCTAAATGTGTAGGGTTTTTTGTATAAATGGCTAAATGTGTAGGATTATGTGTAGAAATGGCTATATGTGTAGGATTATGTGTATACATGGCTAAATGTGTAGGATTATGTGTATAAATGGCTAAATGTGTATATATGTATAAATGGTTAAATGTGTAGGATTATGTGTATAAATGGTTAAATGAGTAGGATTATGTGTATAACTGGTTAAATGTGTAGGATTATGTGTATAAATGCTTAAATGAGTAGGATTATGTGTATAAATGGCTAAATGTGTAGGATTATGTGATTAAATGGTTAAATGAGTAGATTATGTGTATACATGGTTAAATGTTTAGGATTATGTGTTTAAATGGTTAAATGTTTAAGTGTAATATCTCAAGATCTAAATACCTAAATGCCTGAATTTCTTAATATTCTAAATAACCAAATATCTAAATACTGAAAACCTAATATTATCTTTATAATTTGATATGTCTCTAGATTTATATTTTATAGTCCTGGCTTCATTAAAACTTAAAATTGCAAATCTAACTTTTTTGACAGTTTTAGAGTGTAAGAATTAGTTGTCATCTACAAGATACTCTTTTCCCTTCCCCCTCCCTAGTCAACATACTGTTTCGACCTCACTCCACCCTTTCTTCCCCCGAAACTTTACAGTCTACATCCTTCCAATCTTGATCNTCCTCAAATCCTTCTTATTTTAAACCTCTCTGGTCCTTTTTCCTTCTATCCCTCCCCGATCTTAAATAGTAATCTACTGAATATTTTCCTTCTAGATCTATAATTTATTAAAGAATTCCCTCCACCAGTCTGAAATATATCTAAACTTGAGAATTTTAATGAAAAATTTATTATTTTGCCTGTTAAATATTGCAGTGTAGCCTGGTTGAATTCATTTTAATATCTTTGCAATGCCAGAATTCAAAATATCTTCTCATGTGCAAATGCAGCACATATTTTGCGTAATATTTTTAAAGGTTAACACCCAAATATTAGAATATGCAAATATAGAAATAAGGCACATGTGTTTGGTTATTGAAGGTTCAGGATGGTATTTTCTTTATAAATTTGTTATTTGGATAAAGCTTTTGAGTTTTGATTTGAGATTTGTCAGGAATTTCCCATTTTCCTTCCCTGTCATTACATTCTACGAGCAACTGCTAGAAATTTGTATTTTTCAGATCAAAATTTAGAAAAGGGTTTTCGTTCTAGTCTAGTAGATCCATTCACTCCGGGGTTAAATAAAATTCCTGATCCCGTTCAGATTCTTTTAGGATTAAACACAACCCTACACATAGATCCAAAAAATGTTGTATCAATTTTCATAGCTGGGTCAATTTTAAAGTGTCACAACACCTTGGCATTTGATTTTATATCGCACTTAGCGCTGACTTATACTTTTTTGGAGCCCTAGACATGATCATTTAAATAACATAAGCACTTGTTTTTAAACTTTAGTATTGAAGAAGTAATTGGCAAAACTCTCAACGATTTTTGCATTAGAGTAATGCAACCTTTAGATCACTCAGCCTACCCTAATCACGTGGTCCTTTTACTGTATCTGTATCTGTATCTGTATCTGTATCTGTATCTGTATCTGTATCTGTATCTGTATCTGTATCTGTATCAGTATCTGTATCTGTATCTGTATCTGTATCTGTATCTGTATCTGTATCTGTATCTTTATCTGAATCTGTATCTGAATCTGTATCTGAATCTGTATCTGTATCTGTATCTGTATCTGTATCTGTATCTGTATTTGTATCTCATCACGTATTCTGGATGTACAGCTATATTTCTCCTTTAATCTTGGTTCCTGAAGAGCAGAGTTAGTTAGTTACTGATAGATTAATAATTAGACCAAGAATCTGACAGAAAAAAATATCAAATTCTCAGCGCTTCAGAAGAAGTATTTTTCAAGATTTCTCTTCGGCTACAGTTTTAATAAATATCTCTTTAGATTTAAAAAGATGGGAATATATGGGCTTAAAAATCTGAAGTCTTAACAAAAATATGTTCAAAGAAGTTTTTTCAAAGGATTTCAGTCTTCGCTACAAATTATGATTTTTTAATCCCTATATCCCTGCAACCCGATGTTGTAGATCTTAGATATTTCATCAGGTTGCAAAAATATAACTATTTGAACATTTGAGTTAGTGGCAAATGCTCAATTTCTTTATTTTCTTATTATGAGAGTTTAAACGTAATTTTCAAGTGACCCTACAATGATAGAGAGGTTTGTCTGATTCACAACGATACCCTTTAAAGCTTTGTCTGCTCAAGTATTTTTATTTGTTGCTTCTCTGCAAAAGGGACCTCAGAATTTAATATTTTCAAGCCAGACAAACCACGTTATCTTCCACATTATTGATTAAATTAAGGTTTATAGGCAGCGTGGTGAATAGGGCATGCCTCTTTGTAAATAGAGGCTCATTTATAATGACGAGAAGAGTCCCTTTACAAGATGAAAAATTAGTATTCTCACAGAATACCCGTATCTTGTATCTAATGCATTTTTCACTAGTATAAGAAATAAATAGATTTGATTCAACTTATATTAAGGAAATACTCACAAAAAATGCAAGACGCTTTTTTCACGTTATTTACGGTCTATTCTGGGTTCGAAATTAATAACATTGCCTGCTCTGTATCTTTTCATAAAATCTTTGTTTAGGTCTGTGTTAAAAAATTGGCATTCATTTACCCAGTTATATATATATATGGGTTAGCTATAGGCAGTTTGAAATTAAACAAATCTTATAAAGGATATTACAAAAAAATGAGACTTTTGTGTAGGTCAATAATATTTCTAATTCTAAAAAAAAATGAAAAATAATTTCAATTTGTATTCTTTTAACAATGAAAAATGCATGATGCATGCTTGGATGGTTCATCCTGGTCAATCCTCCTCATATTGTTAATATCATCTTGTATTCCCGTCATGTTTTCAATATCTTAAATCTTACATAAGTTTTACAATTCTTACGCCGCAAATTTTCTAGACAGAAGGTTTAAACCTCTTTATTCCAGTATTTTTAGTTACAGGGTTAATGACGATATTTGGAATATTATTTGAAGAATTAAATATTTGGTTTGGAATATTGTGCACTAAAGATTAGATATTTGGTTTGGAATATTATATTTAAAGAATTAGATATTTGGTTTGGAATTTTGTGCACTAAAGATTAGATATTTGGTTTGGAATATTATGTTTGAAGGATTAAATATATGGTTTGGAATATTATGTTTAAAGAATTAAATATTTGGTTTGGAATATTGTGCACTAAAGATTATATATTTGGTTTGGAATATTATGTTTAAAGGATTAAATATTTGGTTTGGAATATTATGTTTGAAGGATTAAATATATGGTTTGGAATATTATGTTTAAAGAATTAAATATTTGGTTTGGAATATTGTGCACTAAAGATTAGATATTTGGTTTGGAATATTATGTTTACAGGATTAAATATTTGGTTTGGAATATTATGTTTGAAGGATTAAATATTTGGTTTGGAATATTATGTTTGAAGGATTAAATATTCGGTTTGGAATATTATGCTTAAAGGATTAAACACTTGGTTTGGAATATTATGTTTGAAGGATTAATTATGAAATGTGAATAATAAAATGTTTAATTCAGAAAGTTGGGAATCTAGTATTGAAGAAAGGGTTCACGGAAACATCCAGAGTACTGTTTTGTCAGGTTTGATATCTTTAATTCTTTTTTATACCACACCCCCAGGACCCCAATTCCCCATACTATCTTTCGGCCTTTTTTTGCATATAGGAGAGAAATATTTGTATTTATATATATTATATATTTGACGATAAGTCACATAATTCAATTCTGTATTCTAGAAAAGGAAATGAAGACTTGTAAAAAAGAATATTTATTATTTATCCTTGACTTCTATACCATCGAATACAGAATATATACAGGGAGACCCATAAATACGTGGAATAGGACGGTAAATGTAAAACTTAAGGAATGATTTTTAATAGTTTAATGAGCATGAAAAAGAGCTCAATGGTGCAGTGTACACAGACCCATTTTAATTGAGTTGATTTTTGTAAAATTGGTAAAACTGGTGTTTTTAACATCATCTGCGCGCAATGCACATGAGATTGCTAAAGTGGCGTCTTCCAATTTCACAATATTATGAGCCTCATTGTATTATTAATTTTCATGTAAAATCTGAAATGTAGTTAGAAACCGAAATATGTTTTAAAAAAATTATTTTTAAATATATTCCAAAGATTTCTTTTTCTCCTGCATCGGTTTGAACTCAGATGTAAATCCTTTGAAACTCATTTGTCACGCTTCCATCCTTTCAGATTTAAATCTTCTTGTCCTCAGGATAGTTTGTTGCTTCAGGGTTGAACCCGGACACGTTCTACAGTTTCCGGGTCCAGGCAGAGAACAGTCTTGGTTCCGGGTACCCTAGTCCAGTGCAGTCCATCAGGACGAGTCAGGATGCTCCGAGTGGAGCTCCGGAACAGGTTTCTGTTAAACCGACCAGCTCACAATCTTTACTCGTCACGTGGAGGGTAAGACAAATAATTTGCAAGAACATTAAGTTATTTATATTTATATATATTTATGTATTTATATATATATAATTATGTATTTATATATATTAGTTAATGGAGTAAAATCTATATGTAAGTTAATGGAGTAAAATCTATATGTGAGTTATTGGAGTAAAATCTATATGTAAGTTAATGGAGTAAAATCTATATGTGAGTTAATGGAGTAAAATCTATATGTAAGTTAATGGAGTAAAATCTATATGTCAGTTAATGGAGTGAAATCAAAAGCCAAGGAGTTGCCACATTAAAGTGGACCCAGTCCTAAAAATTGATGGAAATATTTTATAGCATCAATTATTATAGTTTAATTTTAGTAATTTTATTAAGTATAGGTTGCATTGACAATTAATTTTTTTCTTGTTTTTTTATTGAAAACACATTACTTTGAAAATAATTAGAAATATCTTATTTTTAAGAAAGATCTAGATAGTTATAAATATTTGATTTTTTCCGCTTGTCTACGAAAATAATGCAGAGCAGGGTTTCTTCTCTCCCTTGCCTCCTGAAACCTGATCTTATCAAGAGATATTACATCTCCAGATTCCTTCACTAACTACAGAAACTTGAACCTACCTACAAATAATAAATACCAATACAAAAATGTTTAATATCACAAAAATCTACTTTTTTATATTTTGTATGCATGTTTACATTGCTAAACTCATTGCTGAAGACGTAATTTCAAGTGCATTTATGATCAAGGATTGTATTAAAATAGGTTAGAAGATTTTTTGGACGACTTTACAGATTCACCGGGCAATATAAGTGTGCAATATAAGGAATTGGAAGGTTTATGGCGATTCCTAGAATGGTATTGAACATGTTGACATGGATGACAAGAATATTATATTTATATTCTGGCTATATTTGATATTTAGCCTCCTAAACTTGAACTAGACTCCTAAACCTGAACTAATATATGTTTAGGCTCCTAAACCTGAGCTAGAATATTTTTAGGCTCCTAAACCTGAACTAGAATATGTTTAGGCTCCTAAATCTGAACTAGAATATGTTTAGGCTCCTAAACCTGAACTAGAATATGTTTAGGCTCCTAAATCTGAACTAGAATATGTTTAGGCTCCTAAACCTGAACTAAAATATGTTTAGCCTCCTAAACCTGAACTAAATTATGTTTAGGCTCCTAAACCTGAACTAGAATATGTTTAGGCTCCTAAACCTGAACTAGAATATGTTTAGGCTCCTAAGCCTGAACTAGAATATGTTTAGCTTCCTTAACCTGAACTAGAATATGTTTAGGCTCCTAAACCTGAACTAAACTCCTAAACCTGAACTAAACTCCTAAACCTGAAGTAATATATGTTTAGGCTCCTAAACCTGAACTAGAATATGTTTAGACTCCTAAACCTGAACTAGAATATGTTTAGGCTCCTAAACCTGAACTACAATATGTTTTGGCTCCTAAACCTGAACTAGTATATGTTTAGGCTCCTAAACCTGAACTAATATATGTTTCGGCTCCTAAACCTGAACTAGTATATGTTTAGGCTCCTAAACCTGAACTAATATATGTTTAGGCTCCTAAACCTGAACTAGTATATGTTTAGGCTCCTAAACCTGAACTACGGCACGGACTGATCCAAGGATACAATATCTTCTATGCTTCTCTGGAATCTACTGATATTCAGGAACCCTACACGTTCAATAAAACATAGAAATACAATTAAATTCTCAAATATATAGTGTCCGTCCACCCCGTACAATTGTATGATAAAACTTCCATTTTATGATTGAGGAGCGCTAAGCTCTGCGTAATAAGTGCATTTAAGAAATATTTAAAATCTGAATCAGAAAATAAAATATTAGTTTTTTGGTTAAAGTTTAAATGCACCATACAAAGTTTTATAATTCTCCATCAGAGTTCTTGTTTATCATTTCAACGTCCTCTGCTGTAAGACTGTACATAAACTTCTCCGCTGTATACAGAATCATTTTCGACCGTAAACAGAATCATTTTCGACTGTACTCAGAATCATTTTCGACTGCACAGTTTTAATTTTATTTTATTAACTGTATTTTTCGACTGTACATGCAGTCATGCACAGTATTTCTTTTATTTTATAAACTGTATTTCTCGACTGTACATGCAGTCATGCACAGTATTTCTTTTATTTTATAAACTGTATTTCTCGACTGTACATGCAGTCATGCACAGTATTTATTTTATTTTATAAACTGTATTTCTCGACTGTACATGCATGCAGTCATGCACAGTATTTATTTCATTTTATAAACTGTATTTCTCGAATGTATATGCATGCAGTCATGCACAGTATTTCTTTTATTTTATAAACTGTATTTCTCGACTGTACATGCATACAGTCATGCACAGTATTTATTTTATTTTATTAACTGTATTTCTCGACTGTATATGTATTCAGTCATGCACAGTATTTATTTTATTTTATAAACTGTATTTCTCGACTGCACATGCATACAGTCATGCACAGTATTTCTTTTATTTTATAAACTGTATTTCTCGACTGTACATTCATGCAGTTATGCACAGTATTTATTTTATTTTATAAACTGTATTTCTCGACTATACATGCAGTCATGCACAGTATTTATTTTATTTTATAAACTATATTTCTCGACTGTACATGCAGTCATGCACAGTATTTATTTTATTTTATAAACTGTATTTCTCGACTGTGCATGCATGCAGTTATGCACAGTATTTATTTTATTTTATAAACTGTATTTCTCGACTGTACATGCAGTCATGCACAGTATTTNTTGTATCCTACATGGGATATTCAAACCTGTAATACAGCACAGAGGCCTAGCTAGACAATCGTATTACAGAGATAGGGTGGTTGTTACGGGGCTAGGTGGATTATCTTCTAATACTTAGGGGTAACATAGGATAAAAAAAATTGAAATTTCAAATTTCGATTTTTAAACAAATTTTGTGGGCAACGCAGGGCACTTCAGCTAGTCTATATAATAAAGCTCTTCGCTCATATATACATACATTTGTATCCATATATATTGTATATATATATATATATATATATATATATAATGTATGGATAGATATTATATAGAAAGGAGTCTGAAAACTGTAATCCATTAGTATCCTACATTAGAAGCATAATAGCATTATATTCAGAACTGTTAAAAATAACACTGCATTTGTTGCGCAGCCTCTTACAACAACTTATAAAAGTATAATTAATGCTTTTTAAAATATTTTAAAAACCTATGAGAATTTTGCCAATCACTTCTTAAACAATAAAGGTAAAAACAAGAGATGTATGGTTCTAAAATTCACACGGATAATGCTATATAAAGGTATAAATGAACTATGAAGGTAAAAGATAAAATCAAAGGCCAAGGGGTTGCGACACTTTAAAGAAGATCCAGTTTAGATCTCTGTGACAAGTACTAACCAACAAACATAACTACACAAAACAGTGTTCCAAAGTCAAATAAACTATTTTATTTTAATATATTAAAAAATATGAGTGTGTGAATGCCTCAAGGTTTATTAGGGGAACAGGTAATTGGTAGTAAAGCTGAATAGACATGACCTTGAATCATTTAACTAGGAAGGTGCTGACAGTTTAGGTTTAGTCCCATTCATGGTTTTAGTTTAAATATATATAAAGAAGATATTAGTTTAGTTTTACTGATTAGAAAACAAGTGTTATCTTCTAAACTTGAGCAGAACTATTTACTCTTCACTAGGAGATCTAATAAACCTTTAAGTACACTCTTCACCCTCCTCGTGTGTTGTTTTTTTCTCACAAACTCTGATTTAAATCTAAAATATTCAATGTTAAGATTAGATTGCAAAGATAGGATTAGAAAATTGTGTTTTTGGTAAGAACTCAGTTTCTTTGCCCTACCGTCAAATTTTGGTTTAAAAGTTCAACCTCCTGACAAATTATAAACTGTTTTTATTGTGTTAATGAAAGTAAATTTACTTTTCATAAACGTCAACTTTGCATTAGAATAATTAAAACAACTTTAACAGAATTCCCCTCCCCCCCCCCCATGGGATCTACAGCAAGATGGTAGTAATGTAAGTAAAAACATGGATTGGTAATCTACAGTTTAAAGGACCTTATTACTCGCTTCAGACTCTAATTTTCTTTTATCTTTGAAACATGATGTCATACGCCTTTAATGTCTACAAGATCAAGTATTTAAAGTTTAAACACCAAAAGTTTACACCATCAGGTTGCAAAGATATAAGGATAAAAAATTATTGTTTAAGTTGAGTTTCATAAACTTTTAAGATATGATTAAAATTCAGGCAAACAAAATTTTTACAAGAGTTTGCACATTTATGTTATTTCTCACAAATCTTCTGAGTTTTAATTAAATACTTCTATCCTCCTTGTTCTCCTTTAATTATCGTAATATCCTTGTTTAATTGTTGTGAAAGAACGTGTAATGTTGATATCAGGGTCTGCTACTACAGGAGACGATTAGTATCTCAGAAGGAGAAGATAGGGACAAGGTAGGTTCTCCAGGAGGTATTTATATCTTTTGGAACGAATAGGAACGAGGTACATTCTCCACTAGATATATAATCCTAAGGGGCGGAAAGGGACAAGGTAGGTTCTCCAGTAGGTATCTACATCCTTTGGACGAATAGGGATATGGTAAGATCTCATATCGTTAGTTAAAAATGATTATTTGTAATCTTTCATACACAGATGCCATACATTTCAGATTTATGATCTTTCAAAGATATTGACTATAATTTTTCCGCAATCTGCTTCTAAAAAACATTTATGAAAGATGTTGAATATTCATTTTCTTATTTAATTATATTTGAGATTGAAAGGTTTGAGTTGAAGGGTTTACGAAAGTTTACTGAATACTCCATATACCTGGAAGCATACAACCAGGTTGGGACGAGCCCGAAGAGTTCTCCAAGTGTGATTGCAAGAACTCTAGAGGACGGTGAGTAAAAATATTTAAATTAAAAACTAATCCCAGATTACATTTAAACTTTAAGTTTTGTTTAACTTAAAAGGAGTCTTAGCAAACTTGTTCAAGGAAGCTGAATTTGTTAATTTTATTTTTTTAGGTTTTTTTTTAACAGCAAATAAGTACTTTTATGAAAAAAATAAAAAATAAAAAAAAGGAAAAGGTCCAGTTTGATGGGATTAAATGTTGTAGTTTAATATCTAAGTATTGTAATATTTAAAATTTTATTCATACTTCTTCACCCCAAAATCGTTCATCTGGAAATAAAGATAAATATCAAAATAATACTCAACTGCTTAAATTTGATATATGTAGATATAGTGTGATGCAAAAGAAATAGGTTTAACCCTTTTTTATTTAAAATGGTTTTAGAATTTATTGGAATAAAGTTTTCAACATTTTGGTTTTAAAGATTATCTTCAAAGATTGTATTTTTTAAAGATTTATATTTCAGCTCCGAGTGCTCCTCCGAACAGGGTTGAATGCTCTGGGTTGGATTCAACGTCTCTCCAGGTAGGGGTTTAAGTACTCTTGAACACATTTTCATATTGAATGAAACCTGATTCAGGTTTCTTGGTTCGAACCTTCTCCTGTTCATATCCACGGTTTGCTGCAGGGATACTTTATATTCTATTCTCCTCTGCTAGAGTGGGAAGGTAGGGTATTCTAACATTTTTAATAGATTTATTTTTTTTCAATTTTAAGAAGAAGAAGTTACTAATAATCGTAAGATGTTACTACCCACTATGATCTTTAAAATTGTAAAAAAAACCTGCATGTGAAGATCGAAGAATTTTTTTTTAATAATATCGTTATACTTTTGGATAAACAACATGAATCGTCAATAATTATTAACATTAATCGTTAAATTTTTTGAAAATAACATCAAAGTTTTTTTCTTCCTCTTACATTTTCTTCTCTACAACCCCTCTCTAGTTAGTTAGCACCTAGGGTGAGATCTCGGAAAAGTTCTGTTCCTCCGTCCATGAACTCGGTTGATTATATTTGGAAGGTTTTTACTGTAACCTGGATTGTTAACCTTGCCCAGACAAAGTTTTTTAATTTTTTTGATTAATCTAAACATTTTAATACTAATATTGACTCCAATCATTGCTGCTGTTTTCCAATCGTAAATAGTAAAAAAGATTAGAATTTTAGCTACTTTTTAATTTTTAATTTGAATTTAATTGTGTCCGGAAAGATATAGCTTCCTATATACTATACTAATATACTATATACAACAAATGTTGATCTTGATTTTGATTTATAAAATATAAGTCACAGTCTATGATTCCTATGAAAGATATTGATAGATTACCGAATATCATAGAAAAATAAAATTGCACTCACTAGAATTAACTAAACATTTATCACCAATAAAACCTTTTGACCGTAAACAAATCATTACTTTGTTTGAATGTTGTTACAATAGAAAGCCCATCGGTGGAGAATCTGACTACAAGAGCAAGATCGGAGAAGATATCAGGGTTGGCAAGATGGCAGAACTATACCGTCTCCGTATCCGCGTATAACAGAGCAGGGTTGGGTGTCAGGTAGTACTCCATGAACCTTTGACAACTTTTATTGTTATTAACATGATTCTATCTTTTAGAAGTCGACCCATTTATTGCTCCACACTTGAGTCACTACCCGGAGCTCCGGCAAATATTAAAACCATCTCTGTATCGTCTAACTCCGTCCTAGTGACCTGGTTACCACCGATCCATCCCAACGGTCGGATCACTTTATACAAGGTTTACATGAAAACTATGCTTGAAGGACAACCTTTTACGGAACTGACAGAGGTAAGATTTTAATTAAAATCCGATAATTCGGAAATAACATAAGCACTCAATTCTCAATTCTAATCCTCATATTTTGCAACCTCAACCTTTGAAATTTCCAACTTTGATGTTAATACTTAAAAATATCAAAAATATAATAATTAGAAAATTTCAGTTGAGGCGAGTAAATCAATTCTTTTGTAAATCGTTATTTTCTATAGGTTTATCCTTCCGAGACGAGCAAAGTTTTCGAAAAACTGAATCCGGGCCAACCCTACTCCTGGTCCGTTACTGCCCTCACAATAGTTGGAGAAGGACCAAGGTTTAAGTGTTTATTTCTCCAACTTGTTTTTATGAGCGTGAAGAAGAACAAATCGGAAAAGGGGCTCCGAGCTTCCACAGGGTTACCCCCAAAGGATGAGACTTTACTGACTACATAAAACTCTTTCATTCTAACCTTATGAAGTTTGAACCTTGTCTTCGATCTGAAATCCAGTCTTTTATATTTATTATTTAGAAAAGAAAGCAAAATATTTAATTATATAGGAAACCAGCCATGTATGACAAAGGATCGAATATATTCCGTACAGTCGTCTCTGAAGTCTCTTACTTTTTGGTTAACCCTGTATATAAAGATATGTATATATCAATGATAATTAAATACTGAAAGGATGTGGGCAGGACAGGACGCGACGTGAGCTCATTTATTTATCAATAGTATTACTCCAGGTCCTGAAAGGACTGGTTTAATTGAATCCTGGATATGTTGAGACTAGAGACCAGGATACAAGGTTTCAGGGCTCAAGGAAATATTAAAAAAGATTTATTTTACTTTTACAATATTCTTCTAGGTTTTATGTCTCCAGTTTTCATATACTTCATCATTTAACCTAGTTTAATATTTTATTTTTTTAGAAAACGTTTTAACGGATTTCGAAAAATGTGAGTGGTGCGCGGCATTCTTAGATAGTTGCGCAAGCGACAAGAGAAATAATCAAATTCAAAACAAATTAATTAAAAAATACTATAAAATATAAACTATATACAAATTGGGCGAAAGATAATCGATGACTATAGGTTGTAATATCTGAATGATTTGTTTGAAATTAAATTGATTTTTTACGGTCTAAGTGAGTAAGTCATATGTTTCAATTTTCTCAATTCGTATGGGCGCTAAGTTATTGGGTATGAGACGTCTTTAATAATTTTCTCCTTATAGACGCAACAGATAGAAGTAAGATTATTAGCGATCAAAAGCCCTTTTTTATCGCATCAAGCCTATACCCCCTTTCATTTTTCGCGAACACTCCCTTTAAGCAAAATTTAAAAAGTTAAAGAAAGTTGGAAGACGACAATTATTACGTAGTTTTGTTGTAAAAAAAATAATTCTTTATTTTCCCTAGATCTGACACAGTAACGGAGACACCTCTGTACCAGGGAGAGAAAGGACCGGAGATGCTCGGATTCTCTAAGTTCTTGATCCAAGCTGAAGGAGACAACCTGGAGCTAAGCTGCAGGAATATAGGAAACCCGCCTGCTAGGATAGATTGGGAATACAAGTAGGTTCATTTTATCCTTTCGTTATGATCTTACATACAAACAAACAGACAGATTAATACTTAATGTATATAAATCGGCGCACAAGTGAAGTGGTTCAACTTGGTATACGTAGATCAACAACTCTACATTCATAAAATTTGATCCCATAGAGCCGTCGGACAAGATTCTGATTTATGCCAACTTTGTCCTTCATAAACTTTTGCGTCAGTTAATTCCCATGCTTTTTTACCCAAAAAATATAACTTTTCAACATTGGTGAATACAATTAGACTAATTTCATGGCAAATTTTAAATTTTTCATTGAATTTATAGAATAATATATTACAATTAAATAACAATTTTACAAAATATTAAAATATTCCATCAAAGACTTTAACTCATCCCTTCCATTTAAAAGGTCTCAGCTCTGAGCATCTTTTTTATCTTAAATGGTCCTATACTGGAATATTCAGACAACAGTTCAACACAAAAGCAAAAAAAAATAGGATAGATTTTTAACCTAACATAATACACAGTACTATGTACTTTTGAAGTAGTTATAGCCAATAGAGAGCATCAAGGATTGTGTACATTGTATACAGTGCATCAGTGCAATACTTTCTACTTTTCCAGATCAAATACTTTTCATATTTCATAAATGAAAATTCTCACTTCAATGTCAACAAATATTTAAGGGTCTTATCGTAAAACCTCAAGTCACCTTTTCTAGACATTGTTTTTAAAATTTAGACATATTTAATAATTACAAGTAGAAACTCAAAAAGCTAAAATTTCATTTAAAACGAGCTTTCAAAGTCCTTTTTTTAGAAAAAAACTAATTTGATGTCTAAAACTGATCTAAAATTAAGAAACCTGAACAAAGGCAAAATACAATCGACCGGCCCTGGGGGTTGATAGGTTTAAACTTAAAATATGTCTACTAATAAACACAATAACTATGTGGAAAACTTGGCTTAATTTAGAAATAATAAAACAATAAATAATAAAATCTAAATTTGAAATTATTATTTTTATTCTTACTCTTCATCTAACCTACAATTTACATAAAGCTAGCTTTTAAACGTTAAAGTTTTAAAGTATTATCATAAATTCTTTATTTCTTTAATTTAAAAATATTTTCTAAACTTTTAAAATAATTTCTTTTGAAGTTGAGTGAAACTCTTGTAAGTGTATTCCCTGATGTTTAGGAAAAACTATTTAGTTTCCGAACTGTACAAAGTTGTACTGTAATTTATAACTGATATTTATATATGTACTGTACTGTAATTTATAACTGATATTTATATATGTACTGCACTGTAATTTATAACTGATATTTATATATGTACTGCACTGTAATTTATAAATAATATTTATATATGTACTGCACTGTAATTTATAACTAATATTTATATATGTACTGTACTACAGGGTTTCCTAAGTAACGAATTTGAAATCCACAATATTTCCTTAATTTTTCAATTTCCAAAATGTGGTCTGTGGTTTCATTTTGAATATTTAACTAAAATTATCATTTTTTAAGATTTTTCAGAGACCACGTTTTGTAAACCCAGGTGTCGTACAATCATATTTTTTAAAAACAAAATTTTCCCTTATTTTATCTTTTAAAATTTTGCTGAACTATTATTAAAAGTGAAATCATTCCTAGAACTAATTTTGTATTTGCTCGGTTGAGTGGAGACAAGTTGGAGAATATAGAGATGTCTAGAGGAGGGAGACCTAGTAACACTTTACTAGGAACATTTCCTTTAAACTTTACACATTAACAGTTTATATGCAGATTATCGACAAAGTTTTCAGCCACAAAAATTGAAATAAAACCTGTTTAAAGGGACTGTCAACGTAATAAAACCTGCTTAAAGGGACTGTCAACGTAATTGAAATAAAACCTGCTTAAAGGGACTGGTAACGTAAATGAAATAAAACCTGCTTAAAGGGACTGTCAACGTAATTTCAAGCAACCTTTCATTTGAATAATGGTGTCCTCTAAACCGTAGTCTAAGAAAAAAAAGATTGATTAATATCCTTGTTTTTCTATCTGAAAATTGATTAAATTAAATTTAGTTAACAGTCCCTTTAAAAGTTAATATTTAACAACTTTAGAAATAAGTTTTAAGGATTGGTTTTAGGGAGCTTAAGGTTCGACTCCTTGAGGGTTGAGAACTCCGGGAATTATACTTGCTCAGCTACCAACAAACTAGGAGGAGCTCAGATATTCTATTCTCTCCAGGTCAAATGTAAGTAGGAATAGATTTAAATCTTTTGAGGTCAAAACTTTTTCCAGACTGGTGGTTTAATTAATGTCATCGGACAGAGCTTTTCTCTTGGTTGTTTTGTTACATATCCCAGGATTTTATCAAAATTCTTCAACTTGAAAGTTTACTATTTAGATATCGGTTAAAACGAAGTGGCTTAGCGCTATATCCAACCAAAAGGTCAAATAAAGACGTAGGAGAAGATTAAACTTTTCAGGTTTAAAGAAATAGAAGATGATGAAACATAAAAAAATGTCATTTCTTTTCTTTTTCTGATCCTAATAATCTTTATGCATTGCTCCTGTTAAGAAAGGAATACAATTTCCCCTGAGAACTGCGAACCCAACCTTGCTCTCTCTCTCTCTCTCTCTAGATTCATAATTCTTCATTATTTAATTCCTCCACTCCTCCTAGTTCTAGCTCTAGGGGGGAGAAGGTTTGATTATTAGCTCCATGTAATCCTTGAAGCTAGGAGAGAAGTTCATTATCCCATGTTTTATACGATGGAGAGAGAGGGTGGGGGAGCTATTATTGGGATTGAAATGAGAGGTTTAGTGATGGGATTCGCAGAGTTTATATTCCCCTGACTTCTACCAATTATTAATGATTGAGAATTATATCCATGGTATTGTATGATGGATATGATTAGGGAATTATGAACGCATTACTGTATTTTCTTCTTCGCAGATGTTTATTGGTTGCTTTATAGTGGTTCAGTAATCACTCAGAACTAGCGCAGAACATTTCCATACCTTTGACTAAGAATGTAATGCAAGGAAAGTTAATTGCAGTTCCGTATACTCTGCGTACATATTGAAACCAGTTCTCTCTGGGCAGAATTTGTAAGCAAGAATAGATGCATCAGTGTTCGTTTAGTATCCGAGGAGGTTAAAAGCATAAAATTTTGATAATTTCGATAATTTGCATAATAGTTTCCTATGACCAGAATATTTCATTGATTTTTTATGTGAAAGATGGATCCCATTTCAGGCTTTGACATCCGTCTTGTGCTTACTTTTCTGCCCAGTGACAGTACACTGCAGTACAAAAGATGCGTACACCTCTGAAATAAATTTCCTTTCATTAAATCCTTGCCTTTGACTAAATTTTTTCTGTTATATATAATAGAATTTGTGAATATGGTTAGTATGTGTGTAAGAGTGGAGGTATATATACTATATACACAATAAATGGTTTTCCATAAACTACCGAATATGAGATCCATTTGTCCATGGTAAAGTGGAATAGCTGGTACAACGAGGGAAGAAGTTTACCAAAAGAGTTAAAGATAATTTTTTTTTTTGGGGGGGGGGAGTGGGAGGGGAGATATAAGAAAGTTAATAACATAGAAAATGTGTATTTCTTAGATTTCTGAATTAAATAAAATATTTACAAACATCACTGTTCCAAAATTGCCCCAAGTTTCTACGAATCTACTGTTATCTTTTAGGAGAATTGACGAATATAACATCTTACTAAAAGTTGAAATTTTTGGAGCATCAGACAATCAATCTTTAACAACTTTTTGATATTTTATCTATATTTTTATTTTCATCAATTATTGCTTAACTTTTACTAAAATCTTTTACTAATATACAATCTTTGTTGTTAAGTGAGTCGGAGTAACGGTGTAGTTCCTTATCCACCAACCCTACGGATAGTAACAGTGAACCAGACTAGTATAACCTTATCTTGGGATACTCATCCCACAGGAGGATCCAGTATACTCAACTACAGGATATACTTCAGGTACTTCAGAATATACATACTTCAGGTACTTCAGTATATATTATTATATTGATTTAAATTAGAATGCTTAATATTGATTGAATATTTAGGCGTGAGGCTGGTAGCTGGGAGGAGAAATATGTTAGTATATCATCCTTCTCTCCTACTATCTATCCTTACTTGGAGACGGTTGGAAATCTAAAGTGTGGGTCCAGGCACTTCTTCCAGATCTCCGCCACTAATGATTTTGGAACAAGTTCAAGATCAACGGAGATTTCAACACTTACCCTCGGGTCTCCACCAATAGCTCCACCACAGGAGAAACTTCTCTACATGAACCCAGGTACAGGGTTACCTACAAAGGATGAGACTTCAGAGATGACTGTACATAATTTTTACTGTCTTTTTCCTTATATTTAGGATTCTCTGCAACTTTAAACTTGTTTCGTTTTCTTGTCAATAAATAGGGAATTAAAAGACAATATTCAGGGCAAAAGACTTATTTAAACTTGTAATTCGTTATATTTTATGAGTTTCAGGTCGTCTTTACAGTCTCGTCCTTTGTGGGTAACCCTGTAGGATCATTTTAGATTTTTTTTCTGAAAAAAAGTTGCTTTTATCAGTTTTTCCAGTTGTTTTTAACTCACTGTAGATGTTTAGACTGGCATGTCCGATTTACAACTGTACCCTTTCAACCTTTGTCTGATCATCGACGGCATCTTGAGTAACCTGTGTTTATATCTCTAGAAATTGTTTGAAACTGGAGTGTACAGTGTACACTAGCGAACAGTGTGAACTTAACGCAGCTGACTCAACATATTTCTCAAAAATCCCAAATATTCTATGTCCAAACCAGTTTTAAAAAATTTGAAGGAAAATATTTAATTTAGATTAGGGTTTCCATTTCGAATATCGCAAAAAAAAGCACAAATCTTTTTCTATAGCTGGCTAACTTATTTGAACAAATAGTAAATTTATCTAACATCGTAGAACAACAAATTATTTTGTAATGTAATGTAATGGATATTGCAGAAGAATATTACGCATTTTGCGCATTATTCCGCAAAAATTGAACTCATGTATGGCAATAGTTTTCATTTTCTCAAAGGCTACTTTTTTATAATTAACAAATAAACATACTCTTTATTATTTTTCAAATCAATTTTAACAAAATCGATTAAACTTTAAAGATATTGAAAACCCTAATCTAGCTGGACTCCCGGAAGTTTTAACATTATTATGAGTAATAAAACAGGTTGCAAACAAAATCATGAACAATAAGAATCGTTTCTGCGGATAAAATAATGATAACTCCGTCATCTTTGATCATTCAAAGGTTTAAAGATAATTTTGAACTCTTTTAAGTAATATCAATCAGTAATCAACTAAATATGTTCTTATTGAGAAAATATGGAATTGTTATCTTTTATTTAATTGGAAATTGGAAAATAGGTTTTCTTATTATTGAGTTCCTAGAACTTTCTGTACTTACAGATTTTAGTCGTCTCCGCATTACAGGGACTGTCGCTGTGACCTTCATTTTAAAAAATCCATGCTCGATCCACAACACGGTACTCTTAAATCCTTGATCTGATCGGTAATCTGATAAATTCAAAAATTTGTATAGAATAACCACAGTTTCATTTAAACAATAATTAATTAGAAAACGATAGATATCTCATGCAGTCTTGATCAGAAAAAGCTTTTCAGGGTTCAGGTGTGTGATTCGAAAATTCTACCTTGTAAATTTCTGAACTTTTAAATTCCATTTTTTAAACAAAGAATACAATTATATAGCTTGGTCAAAATCTTAATAAAATGTTTCAAAAAATATTGAAAAATCAATATTGAATTATTCACCAGGATCCAACCTTGTACTACTCCTGGAGAGCTGGAAGGACGGGGGGTGTCCAATATCCTCCTTTGTAGTCGAGTACAGGGAGGGAAGTCAGGACTGGCATCTTCTCTCTAATCTTCTCTCTCCGGAAACTAAAAGGAAAGATTGAAATATTTAAAATGAAATGATAATATTTCAATAAAGGTTTGCTTGCACAAACAAAAAATAAGAAATTAGTTGAGAAATTTTAAATTTTAAATTTTTCAATCTCCATCAGTTTGACCATCAGCGATAGATTGGAGTCCGGAAAGGATTATCAACTGAGGATGACTGCGCATAATTCTGCAGGATCTACGCGGCATACGTACACACTTTTCGCGGATTCTATAAATGGCGCCAACCCATCCTTAATTATTGGAATTGGTTCAACCGGTAGATATACAGGCTGGATGCTCCTTGCCGCGTTCACAATTACAAGTATCGCCATGTTAGCTTTTCTTATACGAAGACGACAAAAGCGTGTTCCACAAACAGGTAATAAATCATTTTCAGATAGAAATAGTTATCTTATTTATAAAGAAAAAAACTGTTCTGTAGGCTGTATCTCAAAACTTTCTAATTTGAGAAAATATTTTCAAGTTTCAATTTGAACTCAATCAAAACAGTTTAAAAGGATCAAACTCCATTAGAGTGATAATATACAGGATCTGTGCCAGGAGGAGGAATAGATTTATCCAACTTAACCAACTCACTGCCAAACCAAACCTACAACCTTCAATCCCATTCCAACCATATACCAAACCAAACAAATCTGTTGCACACTCAATTATATAAACAACAGGTAAAGTATATTAATTTTTAAAACATAATTTCAGCATTTTACAATTGATCTTTTTTCAAGAATTCGGATTGTGATGGTAGTCCTGAATATTATCTTCCAGTAGATACTCAAATCATGGCAAAGTAAGTAAAAGATAATATATTTTAATGATAAATAAAAGAATATTTATCTCTTTATTTTAAAAACTTTAAAAACTTAAATTTCTGATTTTGATCCTTATAAGCTGATTCTTTGCAATTCTTAAACTTTTTTCATAATATGAAAGTTGTCCAACATAAACTTCAAGTTCACCGTATCAATAGAGTTGGATCATCAATTTCTAGCTTATAGTTTATAAGATCAATTAATTAATATCAAACAATCCTTTATCTTTAAAACAAAATCCTATAAACAGTAACATGTGTAAAAACAAGGAAATTTAGGTTGGAGTATCGTTAATCTTTATATTTAATGTGAGCACTGTTAAATTTGAGGATAAATGCTTGATTCCTTAATTAAAGGTCCCGCTGCAGGGACATCGAAGATGATTTTGTTTACAAAAATGTCTTCTGCAATTAGGGGAGCACATTGTAATTATGAATATCCTCCTATGGAAGCGGCAGTACATTTTATGAAGGTTTCTGGTGAATAATTAGAAAACCATCTACCTTCATTCTGTAGAAATCCGGTCTCTACATTCTTTTGTAGAAACAATAGACACAATTTGTTTGCGCGTAGTTTTTCTTTGTCTTAAAAAAGGATGCGAGTGTTGGATATATTTTCTATAATTAAACTGAAGTAATTTAAAAAGTAACATGTCGGATTCACAATGTGACAATGGCACCCTTTTAACCTTTATCCTAAATCCACAAGATACTTTTTAAAATAAATGTTTTTGGATCAAAAACAAAAATAGTAAAAATTTCTTTTCTTTTCTTATATAAAGATGAGAAGCGTACTGTTGTGAATCTCTTTAAATGGAGGATCACTTAAATTTTGATTGATTTAATTAAGAGCATTTGGTTTCTAAACCCCGAAACTTTTCTTCCAGAGTACACAGTCTGAAACATCAGATGGTTTTCAAGCTTACGTACTTTACGTATATTTACAATGTAAAAATATAAATACATGATACTTGTTTTGTTTTAGTTCTTTCTTTGAAAAGTACGAAGACCCAGATTCCTTTCATCCTTACGCAGAAACATTGAGTAGCTCCAGGGTAAGCTTTTTTTACCAGAAACATTGAGTAGCTCCAGGGTAAGCTTTATTACCAGGAACACTGAGTAGCTCCAGGGTAAGCTTTTTTACCAGAAACATTGAGTAGCTCCAGGGTAAGCTTTTTTACCAGAAACATTGAGTAGCTCCCGGGTAAGCTTTTTTACCAGAAACATTGAGTAGCTCCAGGGTAAGCTTTTTTACCAAAAACATTGAGTAGCTCCAGGGTAAGCTTTTTTACCAGAAACATTGAGTAGCTCCAGGGTAAGCTTTTTTACCAGAAACATTGAGTAGCTCCAGGGTAAACTTTTTTACCAGAAACACTGAATAGCTCCAGGGTAAGCTTTTTTACCAGAAACACTGAGTAGCTCCCGGGTAAGCTTTTTTACCAGAAACACTGAGTAGCTCCAAGGAATACTTTTTTAAAAGAAACACTGATTAGCTCCATGGTAAGCTTTAAAAAGAAATATTTTTAACATTCGTATTTATTGTTCAGGCTGGAGGTCTAGCAGACAGTATTGGAGGAGGGTTTGGGTTTGAAATTCCAGATACTTTTGCTCCGGTCAGATCTCCATTCTTCTCCGAGTATCCGGAAGGGTTTGGGTCTCCGGAGCGGAGAGCGTTCTTGCATAAGTCCCATCATGTGAATACAAACTCTGAGAAGATGGATGTTTATGATAAGAGTTGGATTCCTATGAAACGAATAGATGTCATGTTTCAGTAAAGGAACTGAGACTTGGCACAAACTCAAATTTCATTATCTTATATCTTTGCAACCTGGTGGTGTAAACCTTTTATATTTCAAAATTAGATTATTGGATCTAGCAGAATTCCTAATTTTGAATATTTGAGGTCTACGACATTGGGTTGCAAAGATATAGGGATTTGAATATCAGGGTTTGTGGCAACGACTCAGTTCCTTTATTATATCCATTCTGCCTGGCCAGATGCTCTAAAGATTTTACGCCAAAAAAGTGTATATAGCAAGTATATAGTCCAACACGTTGTTTTAACTTCAATTCAGTGAAATTAAGAATATTTAATTTTGAAACAAAATCTCGTTAAAACAGAAATCCGAATATTCCCCTTAAACTTTTTGGTTTCGGAATGTTTTGAAAATCTAAAAATTATTTTTGATTTTTCACTTCGATGTGCACTGCAAAGCGTATTTGAAGACAAATAAGTTCCTAAACGTGAAAATTATATAAAATTGTTCATTTAATGTTGATTTCTTCAGTTATTTTAAGTCTTAATAGACATATATCAGAGTTTGTTTTTGGCTAAGCTATTTTTTGAAAAAAAACTTCGAATTGTCTATGTGTAATGTGTATCAACGCATCCTAACAGTAACCAAAAAAACTAAAACCATAGAACCACCTATAATAACTGGACATTATTTTGGAATTTACTCAACTTTAAATTCCTTTAACAAGGAATATAATAAAATAAAAGAGTTAATTCATGCTTTTTTACAAAAAATCAAAATGCATTCATAAAAAAATGAAATTATACATAGTATTAGGTCTATTAACGGTGTATGGAAAAAGTTGTTTAATTTTGTACAGTAATTTATAGAATAATATTGTCTTAGCACAAAGAACCATATCAATAAACTGAATAAATCAATTAATTTAACTTTAACTGAAGACCTGTGAAGGTATGTACTCTGTAGAATTTTTGGTGAGATATTAAAATCAACCCCCTTTTTCATTTTTCTTGGTCGTCAGTACTGCAGTTATTGGACATCTAAAATTGTGATATTTTTGGGATCGACTGAGCAAATCCATAAAAGATGTTTTAACCCTAACCGGTTGGGAGGGGGAGGGTCGTTTGGTGCCCCCCCCCCTCCTTAATTGCCATTTAAAAAAATATTCTACCACCCGATTTTTTAAAGTTAGCGTTCTATTTTAGTTTAATGAGCTGGCCTTGAAAAATTGGGCTATGAACATGTATTTCAACTTCCTACCTTTACTTTTACCTTTTCGAGGAGGGATGGGAGAGGGGGAAGCGTCCCATCCTCTCAGTCTATTCTTTGATGTTTATAGGGAAAACTTCCAGCAAAGCTGGGTTTTCAAGCTAGATGCTTATATATTTACTACTGCTGCACATCCTAGATAAAACCTCATCCATTTTATTTTATTTATTTTCAATTCAACCATTCAAAAGTTTTCCTGTTTATTTAAGAATATTTTTATATAATCATATGTTCCGTGAAAATGCAAGATAATCAGACTCTTTACCGTCTCTGTAAACTATCTCAAAGATAGAGTTTACAACACTAAGGGAAAATATGATGCCCCATTTTGATGTAAATCTTTAGGAATACAAATATTTAAAATGTACATGAGGCCCGGGCTGATCTGGTAGTTGCTGTCTAAATACCATCGAGTTTTGGCAATAACATCGGATCTCTTAAATGGACTGTAAAGGAAAAATGACGAATGGGGGTATCAAATTCATACGAACATTTATATACATAAAATTTTGTATAAAAATTTAAACAGTTCATATTCAGCAAATACGTAATACAGATGTAGACAAGTGACCAGTATACTTCACTCCCATTGGTGGAAGTTCTGGTCACGTGATACGGACGTATATATAATATTATCAATTATATCAATTAAAATAAAAAATTATTAAATTCAAATAATAATAGGAGCAAACCTAAGTTATTCAGGCTCCTCTGGGATATCCTCGTTTTCCGATTGGTTGCGTAATTACTGAATATGATCTGTTTAAAACGTAGAAGTTTATACCAAATCCTATGTATATAAGTTTTCGTATAAATTTGACGCAGTTTTATATCAATTTCTCGAGACATGAACATGCTTAGGTTTCAGTCTATACCCTTTCATTTTTCCTTTACAGTCCCTTAACATCATTCGTTTATTAAAATTTTGTATATAAAAATACTAAATACAACTCCTCTCTATTCCAATTTACCATCCACCTAGTTTTATAGTCTTTCATTTGCCTACCCTCTAGAATTCTAGCGTAAAAAAAAACATTTAAATAATTGAATTGTTTATTTGATCTAACTGTATCAGCATAAAAAATTACCATTGAGCTTAACTCCTGACTCCGGACTAGACTTGTTAACTTGAAAATATAAAGTTCAGGTTCAGTTGTAG